AAACTGGAGAGAGGAGGCATGAGTTGATAGCCTGTCAAGTTGATTCAGGGGAGAGATGGCGTAGTAGATGTTTTTAGGATTGATGCCCTAGATCACAACTGTTCCCTCTTTTCTGGAAACAGTGGCAATACTATGTGACCTTGTAACCCCCTCCCAACTTTGTGACTGTAGTTGATTGGTTCTGGGTTGGCAACTGGCCCAGTCTGGGCTGTCAGTCCTTTCCTGAGACCTTTGGATCTGGGAACAAAGAGTAGACTGCTTTCTCTGGTGTTAGAAACTGTCTGATTTGAGGCTAGATAGCTGTGGGAAGCTATCTTCCTCTTTGTGTAGAAGAATTTGGTCTAGAATGAGAGTAGAGTAACTAATAGAGAAAGAGAATTCTGCTTGCATTTGAGGTCAGGTTCCACCTACATTTCCCATACTGTGGTTGTGGGAAATAAACCAGAATCCTTAAAATACATTTTTCTGTTTTGCTTAAGCTAGTTTAAATTTGTTTCTTGCAGCCTTAAGAGTCTTGATTAGTATGGACGATGAAGGCCAGAACTAAGGTGCTGAGCGTGGGGTTGGCTGATCTCAGGTGTTAGGAGGTGAACTGGACAGAAAGTGGTGACTGTGACTCTGCAGAGAGCAGCGTGCTTTGCTAGAGTGGACACCAGGGCAGTGTTCTAAGTGGAGGGAAGAAATTGGGCAGAGGCAGGTGCAGAGGCAGGTGTGGTATAGCAGGTGGGGGCAATTTTGAGTGCTTCAGCCTGGCTGGGCTGTGGGGATGGGGCTGGTATAAAGAGAGAGAGCTGATTCTGGGTATTGGTTACTGGAGTATTAGGCTTGAACCCAAAGTCTCCTATTGGTTTCTAATGGTACAAATATCACGTACTAGAAAATTTAGGAAATAAATATCCCAAAGAGAATAAAAATTATACTAATGCCATTTGCCATTTGTTCTGTTGCACTTCAGTATTTAAAAATGTGTATATTTTAAATAGTTGAGATGCTGTATATGTAGTTCGTAATCTTTCCCCCCACTTCTTATATCATAAGCATTTTTCAGTCATATATTTTTGGGAAACATTTTGATATATATACATATATGTATTTTTTTTTTTTTTTTGAAACAGGGTCTTGCTCTGTTTCCCAGGCTAGAGTGCAGTGGCATCATCATAGCTCTCTGCAACCTTAAACTCCTGGGCTCAAGTGATCCTCTTGCCTCAGTCTCCCAGGTAGCTGGGACTACAGGTGTGTGCCAATCATGCCTGGCTGAGTTTTCTATTTTTTATAGAGAGAAAGAGGGTCTTGCTATGTTGTTCAAGCTGGTTTTGAACTCCTGGCCTCAAATGATCCTCCCACCTCTGATGACTGTATATTATTCTGCTGTGTGAATATGTCATAATTTATATAATGCCCATCTCTAAGTTTTTGTTCTTATGAACAAAATTGCATTATACTTAAAATCTTTGTCCACATTTCTCATGTTTTTAGAATGAATTCCTAGGAGTGAAATTATTGGATCAAATAACATAACCTTTTTTTTTGAGGATTTTTAAAAAGTAAAGTATATAGAAGTATAATTTACATATAGTAAAATTCACCCTTTTTAGTAGACTTTTGTTTTAATCAAAAACCAAGATTTGTTCATGACTAGTGGACAGTTTTGAATTTTGACAAATGCATGTGATTGTATAACTATGACCACAGTCAAGACACAGAACATCCATTAACTCCCCAAATTCTCCTGCACCCTTTTGTAGTCGTCTTACTCCCCCCCCCCAATCCCTGCTCTGTTTTCTGTCTCTGTAGTTTTCTTTTTCCAGATTGTCATATAAATAGAATTATACAGTACAATAGTTTCTGCCCTCTGGCCCCCAAAGACAGACTTCCTTCCCACACATAAAATATATTCACCTATACCAAGGCCCCCCAGAATCTCATATCATTACAGCATTAGCTCAAAGTCTAGATATCATTTAAATCTCAGCTCAAAAGTTCTAAATCTTGGCCGGGTGTGGTGACCCATGCCTGTAATCCTAGTACTCTGGAAGGCTGAGGCAGGAGGATCGCTTGAGGTCAGGAGTTTGAGACCAGCCTGAGCAAGAGCGAGACCCCATCTCTATTTAAAAAATTGGAAAAAATTAGCCGGGCAACTAAAATAGAAAAAATTAGCTGGGTGTGGTAGCACGTACTTGTAGTCTCAGCTACTTGGGAGGCTGAGGCAGGAGGATCGCTTGAGCCCAGAAGTTTGTGGTAGCTGTGGGCTAGGCTGACGCTACTACACTCTAGCCCCGGCAGCAGAGAAAGACTCTTGTCTCAAAAAGAGAAAAAAAAGTTCTAAATGTTATCATCTAGGTCAGGTGTAGTCCATTTGGAGGCACAATTCCATTCCATCAGTGAACCTGTGAAACATAAGAGATAAGTTATCTGCTCCAAGTACAGTTGGGATGCATGCACAGAATACCAGTGATAGACATTCCTATTCAAGAGTGATGGAAATGGAGGGAAAATAGGAGTCATCAGTCCCAAGCTATCTCCTTCTCTTAACAAAGCAAGTTTTTAAATTTGATGAAGTCTGATTTAGTTATTTTCTTTTTTTATGGACGGTGCTTTTAGTGTCATATCAAAGAAATCTTTCTTAATCCAAGGTCTCTAAGATAATCTATGTTTTCTTCTAGAAGTTTTGTACTTTTAGATACCACATTTGCTCAATTTTGAGTTAGCATCTGTGTATGGTGCAAGGTATGGATTGAGGTTTGTTTATTTGCATTCATATGTCTAATTGAATATAATAAAGTTCCTACTCTGTGAGAACTTAAAAGTCTACTTGTGGTAGACAGACAGTAAGCAAACAATGTGTCCTTTTTATGATGGTGACAAGTGTCATCTGATGGAGAACAGTAAATCAGGACAAGGATATGGGAGTACAAGCTGCAGTGGAGCCCATGTGAGGTTGGTACTGTCTTATATATATCACATGCCAGGTGAGACTTTCTAATGAGGCTTCCAAAAGGAAGTAAGGGGGAAGAGAAGTTTAGGCAGATAAAGGAGAAGTGCAGAGACCCAGGGAGGGACAGTGCCCAGCATGGTTAGGCAGCCAAGGGATGATGGGGAGCGGTGGGAGCTGAGGTCAGGTGTGGCAGAAGTGAGAGGCTGTGCCACGTAGAGTTAACTAGGCTGAGGTAAAAACATTTGATTTTGCTTTCACTACTTTGAGAAGCCATTAGAAAGTGTGGGAGCAAAAAGGATGCATTCTGACTTAGTACTACTCACAGTGTGATTCTTCTGTCAGCATCTGCTGGGAGCTGGTGGAAGATGTAGCCCCACCCAGACCACTGAGTGAGGATCATTGAGAGTAGGACCCAGAATCTGTTGTAAAAGCTCTCCAGGTTTTGTTTTTTTTTTTTTTTTTTGGAGACAGAGTCTCACTCTGTTGCCTGGGTAGAGTACAATGGTGTGATCATAGCTCACTGCAGCCTCAAACTCCTGGGACTCAAGTGATCCTCCTGTCTCAGCCTCCCAAGTAGCTGGGACTATAGGCATGCACCACCATTCCTGGCTAGTTTTTTCTAATTTTACTAGAGACGGGGTCTCGCTGTTGCTCAGGCTGCTCTTGAACTCCTGAGCTCAAACAATCTGCCCACCTCGGCTTCGGAGTGCTAGGATTACAGGCTTGAGCCACTGTACCTGGCCTCTCTCCAGGTGGTTTTGATGCATGTTAAAGTGTTTTTTTTTTTAATTTAATGCAATTGTTACTTGACAAGTATTTTATTTATGGGGCACAACATGATGTTTTGATACATGTTTATATTATGAAATGATCAAATCAGGCTAATTAGCATATCCATCGCTTCACATACTTATCGTTTCTTTGTGGTGAGAACTTTTTTTTTTTTTGAGACAGAGTCTTGTTTTTGTTGCCCAGGCTAGAGTGAGTGCCGTGGCATCAGCCTACCTCACAGCAACCTCAATCTCCTGGGCTCAAGCGATCCTCCTGCCCACCGCCCAAGTAGCTGGGACTACAGGCATGCGCCACCATGCCGGGCTAATTTTTCTATATATATATTAGTTGCCAATTAATTTCTTTCTATTTATAGTAGAGACGGGGTCTCGCTCAGGCTCAGGCTGGTTTCGAACTCCTGACCTCGAGCAATCCTCCCACCTCGGCCTCCCAGAGTGCTAGGATTACAGGCGTGAGCCACCGCGCCCGGCCTGTGGTGAGAACATTTAAAGTCCACTCTTTCAGCAATTTTGAAATATATAGTACGTTATTATTAACTCTAGTCACCATGCTATGCAGTAGGTCACTAGAACTTCCTCCAGTCTGTCTGAAACTTTGTACCCTTTGTCTGACATCTTTTCATTCCCCAGCTGCCCCGATGCCCCCCCCCCAGACTCTGGTAGCTCTGGCCTAGCTTATGTTTTCAAAGTCACTGTGGTTGTGTTATAGAGGATGGACTGCAGGGAAGGCAGAGTGGAGGCAGGGAGGCCAGTCAGGAAGCTATGACAGTGGTCCAGGTGAGAGGTCATAGTGGCTCGTACCAAGGTGGTAGTGATGGAAGTGCTGAGTAGTAGTCAAATGTGAAATATATTTTATAGGTAGAGCCAAAAGGATTTGCTAATAGATTGAATGTAGGGTGTAAGTGGAAGAAGTAAGTCTTGCATAATTCCAAGGTTTTTGGTCCTGGAGGAATGGACCCAGAGCTGCCATTTACTGGATGGAGACAGTAGGAGGAGCAGTGGAGCACTTCCTTGTATTTGAGGTGGTGATAATGGAGGCTTTGGGGATGGATCTAGAGTTTGGGGTGCGGAAAAGTTAACATTGAGATGAGTGTGAATCTTGGGAAGAAACATCTGGTCAGCATTTGACAGCTGAGCTATGGAGCCTTGTTTTCACTTCTACCACTGGAGGTGTACTTGTTCGAGTTCAATGTTAAGAATGATACTATATTTAATAGTAACTTAGTTTTTTTTCCTGAACCACAAATTATGTGTACTTTGTCTAATTTTAACAGGTATTGAAATAAAGATCACTACAACTTTCTGTGAAAATGTCGGTTCTGATATCACAGAGTGTAATAAATTATGTAGAAGAAGAAAACATTCCTGCTCTGAAAGCTCTTCTTGAAAAATGCAAAGATGTAGATGAGAGAAATGAGGTAAGACCATGTGTGTAAAATTAAATTCTTTCACAAAGATTTGTTGACCACTTACTGGGTACAAGGCACTGTGCTAAGGATAGAGGTAAGAAATAGGTGGTTCTCACCCTCACTAATGTTGAATTGTACTTATGGTATAATTTCTCATAGTTAAAAGTACTTCAAATGCCATGTTTTTGGAGTGCATTTTAACTTATATAAATGATTGAATATTGAATTTAGATTTATCATTGACTTTTTATTCCTTGATGGAATAATCAGTATTCAGGATGTTTGATTACTGAAATCTGAAGTTTTGCTAAGAATGTTAGCATCTAGACTCTATCTTCCTAGGAATTGATTAACCAGGCAAAATTAGGAATTTTTGAAATTTTCCTTAATGGACCCCCCAACTCTCTTCCATGATTGTTCATTCTACACAACATGGGATTGTAAAGATCCTTCCTCTTTAAGAGAGAGTTAAGTAGGTTATGTGTTATACTTAATAAGACATTAATAAACGTGTACTTAAATGAGATATTTTTATTTAATAATATGAGTAAAGAAAAGTTTATCTTATTTTATGAATAGCCAAGCTGACCATTATTTAGCATGTTTTAGGTACTAATAAATTTTTGTATAAATATTATATTAAAAAGTGGCAAAGTATGTGTTTGTTTTATAAAACTTAAGGAAAATAATCGTGTTTCTCAGAACTGTATATATTTTCAATAAAGTATAATTTTTTTGCCATTAGGTAAGATTTTTATTTTACACATGTGTGTATGTATATGGATTGATATGTATGTATATATGTGCATATACATGTATCTGTGTAGACACAAAAATTTTTGTAAATTATTATAAAGAAACACATAAAATTTACTGTCTTAACCATTTTTAAGGATGCGGTTCAGTAGTGTTAAATATTTCCACTTTGTTGTGCAAAGATCTCCAGAATTTTTTCATCTTGTAAAATCAAAACTATGTATCTATTAAACAACTCTCCCTTTCCCATTTCCCCAACCTCTGACAACTACCATTTTACTTTCTGTTTCTACCAATTTGACTAATGACACCTCATATATGTGGACTCACATATTATTTGTCTTTTTGTGACTGGCTTATTTCACTTAACATAATATCCTCAAGGTTCACTCATGTTATAGCATGATTTCCTTCCTTTTCAAGCCTAAGCAGTATTCCACTGTATATATGTAGCACATTTTGTTTATCCATTCATTTTGGATGGATATTTAGGTTGCTTCTATCCCTTGGCTATTGTGAATAATGCTGTTATAACATGGATGTGTAAATATCAGAAATGTTTTTAAAAATGTGGAATTGACATTTATTGTAACTGTTTTTGGATATTGGGTACCTAATTTTGTTAAATGTTAACTCAGTCATTAATGAAATGTTGATCTAAAAATTTTATTGCAGTAATATGATAGCTAATGTTTTAATTGAATATTTAAATATAATGGTATATATTTTGTATGTATTTGCATAGCAACTGTATAAAGAATAAATACTGTTATTTATGACTTAATTCCTAAGTTACCTATCCAAGATATTATCTAGTAGAACTCAAATTTGAACCCTCCCCTATTTGACTTTAAACAAACTATAATCTGTTTACGACCCACTGCCTTTCTTTGAGTCTTCAGAAGAAAGTTCACCTAATGATGATACCTCTTTCTTCCCAGTGTTTCTGTATCAAACAAAATGTGTTTTGGTTAGTTAACAACATCATTGCAGCCTTTTATGATTGTGAATAGTCAAAAATTGTTATAAATAGATAAGGTATAAAATTTATAATTGGAGATTATTATAAAAGAATTATAGAAATAATCGTTTTTATTAGCATATATTAGCATATTTGTAATAACAATGTGATAGTTTAAAAACATTGTTTTACTTCTAGACATTTTCTGAATGAGAAAATAGAATACTGAGAAAATAGCTTCACTTGGAAGGAAAAACATAGTATATCAATAAGCATAAAATTATATTAATCTTATTGCCATAAGGGGCGAAGCATATTTGGCATAGAGCTTAATTTAGGATCATCCATGAGATAGCATTTAATGGATATTAATTATCATTATATCTAGTTTAACATTGTACCAGTTTAAATTGGAGTTTTAAAATAATAATTTGGAACTAGTTGAGATTGTTCAGTTATGGCTCAGTGTGAAGTCTGGAGATAAAGTAGCAGCATTCTCAAGGCCTTTTTTTTTTAAAGCATTTTGCTTCTACGACTTCTTATAAAATTTAATTTTTATAGAATTATAAAAAGTTGGGATTTTCCCCTTATTAAAAGTAAAGTATTTAAGTAACTTCATGTTAATGTGTTTTAGTTATCAGTTTTGAGAAGGATTCTGAAATATTAGATCAATTAAATAATGTGGTTAAAATTTCTTGATACTGTGTTTAGCACATAATTGGCCGCAATCAGTAACTCTAGTTTCCTTCTTTTCTTTCTACTTTATTTATAAACTAGAATCTAGTTTTATTTTATTTATTTATTAAAAGGATTTGTTCTATAAAATTTGGATTCAGTCAGAAGGCCACACTCAAGATCCAGAAGGTCATATGTGGCCCCAAGGCTGCAGGTTCCCCACCCCTGACAACCTCTTGGCCTGTGAATATTCATAGTGATGGCTAATCTTTGCCCTTTGTAGAGTAGTAAAGGGTTTTTTATTTTATTTTTGAAAATGGTAAAAAGTCATTCTCTTTGTTCTCTTTGGTACAAGGGGGTAGCGTTGAGGCTGGACATTTTTCTCCTGTTTAAAAAAATGAACTGGAAGTTTAAATTTAAGCAATAGATTTTGTTATGTGTTTATAAATAGATTTTAAAGGAAATTTCAAAGGAGGATTTCAAAATGTTTTAGTTTCTTCCAGTATAGAAATAAGGCCAAAAAAAAAGAAAAAAAAATGTTTTAGTTTCACTACAATTATTGGAAGAAGTATATACCCTCCAAAGGTAACTGCTTTAAAAGGCAATGGTTATTTAGGTCTAATGCATGTAAATAAGTAGAAATGGGAACCTAGAAATTGGGAAGAGCGAAAAGATGGTTGAAGGGTAGATAGATGTTTTTGCATTGAAGTCTTCTGGGAAGCTGAGATAAGGTATGATACCTGTGGTGGGGAACTGCAGTTGGCGCATAGTGTTCTGTTTTGTTTTGGGTGTGTTTTGGCTTGAGGTCATTATAAGTAGGAGAGCAGGGGTTATGTAGGTTATATAATCTTATGTTTTTTGGAAAGAGATAGGCATGGGATTTGCTAAAATGTGTGGAGTTAGGTATGGAAGGAGTCTTTATTGATTCACTTTCAAGTGGAAGAATACAGTTGTCATGATATGATAAATTACTCTGTAGCTCTAAACTGTACTTACTAGATTGGTTAAGCAAGAACTAGGAGAATCTGAATATAGACTTTGTTTTAAGGCCCAACTTATCAGGTAACTATCCTATCTTCGAGGATCTAATAAAATTTTATGGCAGCCTTTACTGAAAACCATTATCTTTTGGAATAATGTAGCTAATAAAATATGTATCAGTTAGGAATTGCTTTGAACTGCATGTGACAGTACTCAAAACAGTGGTTAGACAAATTAAAGTTTTATTTTTCTCACATAATAACAAGCTGGAAGAGCCATTCCTAGGCTGATGTGGTGGTTTCAGGATGCCCTCAAGGACTCAGGCTTCTTCTGCCTCTCTGGCCCCCCCTCCCTGTGAGCGGATGACCTCCCATCACATGCTGACTCAGCTACCTCATTGTGTCTGCATATTGGCAAGAAGAGGGAAAAAGGGTGCAGACCAGCTGAGTTAGTTCCCTTATGGAGCTTTCCCTGGAGGCCCAGCCAGAGCAGGGCCATAGGGTTATTTCCAGCAGCAAGTGTGTCTGAACAGCGTGGGATTTTGACCTGAGCTCATTGCCACCCCCAGCAAAATCCTGTCCTAGATACTGGGTAGACAACTAATAGTTTCTGCAAGAAAAATTATGACTATTCAAGTCTTTTATTTGACATGTTCCTAGATAATCACATTTAAACCATGTTTCTTATTTGTTTTATAGATATTTATACACATTTATATTATGTTTTCTTTCACTCTCTAGAAATACTTATCTGTGTGAACTATATAAAATGTAACTGTGACCCCAGGAAGTAAACAGAAAGCCCCTCTGAGTCTTTGGAATTATAGTTTTGAAAACTATGGTGTAAAATTCATGTGTCATCAGGGTGAAGGATTCAGAGTTTGTTGGCTTTAATTTATATATTATACTAGGGACTTTTTATCGCTTTTTTTCCCAGTAGATTAGCAGGGAGAAGGATGCTGTAGATAGTATGCCAAAGAACTGAGAGCTGACAGAGGCAAGCATGGTGTAATAATGGATGTGTGTAGTCATGACTCGGAATCTTAAACATAATGTTTAAGGTAATCTGTTTAACAGGTAGCAATGTTTGCACATTGCTTTTGCTTTTAAGAATGATGGTTATCATAAAAGTTATAATCAACTTTAATGCTTTTAATGGATACGCGTTTTGACCTGGAAAATCTGTCTATGTGTAATACCTCATTCCCTAATGACTCTGGTTAAATGGCATGTGGTTCCCACATATAATTTAGTATCCATCGTTATATGAGAATGTCTATATTTAACATGATCTACTTTTGTACTTTATTTAAACCAGTATTTGTGTTTAACTCTTGTGTTATTCTTATAATAGCATTTGTTGTATTTTGCCAGTTATTAGAATTATTTGTTTGTATGTTATTCCTAATAGATTTTTTTTTTTGAGACAGAGTCTCACTTTGTTGCCCAGGCTAGAGTGAGTGCTGTGGCATCAGCCTCGCTCACAGCAACCTCAATCTCCTGGGCTCAAGTGATCCTCCTGCCTCAGCCTCCCGAGTAGCTGGGACTACAGGCATGCACCCCATGCCTGGCTAATTTTTTATATATATATTTTTTAGTTGGTCAATTAATTTCTTTCTATTTTTAGTAGAGATGGGGTCTCGTTCAGGCTGGTTTCGAACTCCAGACCTTGAGCAATCTGCCCGCCTTGGCCTCCCAGAGTGCTAAGATTACGGGCGTGAGCCACCATGCCCAGCCTCCTAATAGATTTTTAAAGTCTTTGAGTCTTTGCTCACTCATTTACTCAGTCACTGTCCCTCACACTGGGTATATACGGTATCAAACCCATAAGCAAAACAGGCATGTTTCCCACTCTCATGGAGTTTAGAGGCTTTAGGAGAGAGAGACAATAATCAGTTGTTAATTGCACAAAAATATGATTATGAACAAGGATTAGTGTAGAAGGGAAAATTATAGGGGATCAGTAAGGAGGTGGGAAAGAGCATGAGGGCACATGTAGGGGGGCAGGAATGGTCCAGACTGGGCTGAGATGGAGGCCTGCTCTGCCCTTGCCATCATTCAGGGCTCCTGATGACCTTGGTGAAGACTTTGGTTCTTATCCAAAAGAGCTGTGAGAAAACATTGCAGGGTTTTAAGCAGAGGAATGATGTCATATTGGTGTTTTAAAAAATCTCAATGTTTTCCCCCACACTGTTACACACATAGTAAGTAGGTGCTTACATTTAAATATTTGTGTAATTGAACTTAATTTTTAGTGCAAATTTTTCTCATTTACCTTAAATTGTTTTAGGACCTTTAGTATTATCACTCTTTAACCTGGTGCTTCTGCATGTTTTTTTTTTGTCATGCACTTACAGAAATTGATCATGTTGATACTGCACTTGCAGTAGGTGAGGCTTGCTGCCAGAGGTGACTTGTCCTGGGATCCAGCTGCCTGGGTCCTGCTCCCATCTCTAGGGCTCAGGGAGCACTGTCTCTGTACTCGTGTGACTCATTCTTCGCACAAAGCTGGGAAACTCTGATTTGACTAGCAGGGGCTTTACTTTAATCCATTAAGTTTATAAGAGAAGGCTTTAAAGAACTACATATGTGTATTCTATATACCACCTGTATTTTTATTTATTATTTTACTTTTTCCCCCTCTAGTCCTGTTTTAAATAAAACATATATATGTTAAAAACACACTCTATATATTATATTCTAACTGTATTGTTAGAGAATTTGATTACCATAGGTATTCTGAGATTTTATATATATTTTGGTAATTACTTTCCAGATCCTAGTATTATGCATGTTTACTTTAAATGAATTTGCAATGCCAAGAAACAGATTACTAATACTGTAGGAAGAAAAATTATGTTTTATTTTCTCTTTGACTTTTAAATTATTAGTAAACTGAAAATTAAAATTCAAAGCTTTTTCTAAATTAAACAAATACAGTAAACACAGCAAGTGCTTAACATACCTTTATGAAAATATTTGTGGTATATTTAACCGTGGTGTTTCAGTAAAAGTGCAGCATCTTGATAAGTTCCCTGTGTCTTTCATATTCCCCAGTGTGGCCAGACTCCATTGATGATAGCTGCTGAACAAGGCAATCTGGAAATAGTGAAAGAATTAATTAAGAATGGAGCTAACTGCAATCTGGAAGACTTGGTATATATTAAAATAATGTACTCATTTGTCTTCATTTTCTTTTCCTTAACTTTGCTGTTTCTTTGTTTTTAAGAAGTAATTCTGAAGTAGTAAATTAAAAATTGCACTTTCAGATATATCTCAATGTCGCCTAACGGACTACATCAGTTTTTTAAAAGAGTAAATAATACAGGAGGGAAATTTTTCCTTTCAGTGAAGGATCTCAGCTCTTTATGTTTTTTGTATACAGCTGGCACTAGTGGAGTAGAGAGCACGTACACATACAGTTATCTGCCTGCCTAGAATATATCCATGTATGATTCATGTTGTTAAGTAACACCCCATAATGGTAACTTATAATAAATATCATTACATATGATAATAGCCAGAAAGATGTGGTCCCTTCTGCTATCACTTCTGAGGGAATCACCATTCCAAGAGGTTATATTTCCTCTAATTTTCCCTGTTTTTCTTGGAATTGCTTTTGAGGATCACACAGCTACATCTGTGTTGTTTTGTTTTTTTAATTCAATGAGCATTTGAATTAAATTACAATTATGAATAAAAGTTAAAATAGGATACTTATATCCTTTATTTAAAAAATAAAGGAGAATAGTTCATTTTTTTCTCACAGTTTCTAAACTTATATGGGATCTCTCTAGTTTCTTAGCATGTGAATATGCTCTAAAATTAGATTACAGCCTCTTAGATTTCAATTTATAGTATTAGTTGCTAGCCACAGGATTAGCTTTGAGGTTTTGATGTTCATCTTTTCTCCTTTTTACAAAACACAGTGTATGATTAGAAGTCCAATGCAAAGACTGGACAGTTGTGAAACCATTTCTACACCATTATTAGTGAAATAAGTAGACAGATAAATTCTTAAGAGACTTCAGTATTGTTTTAGAGTAGTTTAGAGTAGATCAAATCATGTCAATTTGGTATGATCATTTGGTATGTAAATTCAAATTTATTTTTCCTCACTTTGGAATGTTATTTTTGGTTTTAAAATGGTAACATTTTTGTGTATGTATTCAAGGATAATTGGACAGCACTTATATCTGCATCAAAAGAAGGGCATGTACACATTGTAGAAGAACTACTTAAATGTGGGGTTAACTTGGAGCACCGTGATATGGTATGTATGTTTTTTACAATATGTTCTTAATTAAGTGAAATCTTATTAACAATAATAGATGTGTGTGAAATCTTATATTTTTATGTGTGAAGTGATATCATAATAATGTTTTTAGGATTTGGGGTTAGACATTGAAAAGACCCTTAAGAATATTTTGGAACCCAGGTGTTATGATGTATCTTTTTAAGAATATTCTTAGTCATCATTTTTAGTTTATTTCAGAATTTAAAATTTCAGAATTTAAAATTCTGAAATAGTGTGAAAAACACCTCATTCCCCTTCAATAAATGAATGTTTAGAACTTTGAGAAAATTGATTCGTTTTGTACTCTGAGGGACATCATATAGTTTAAAAATACTTATCAGTTTGAAGTTTAAATTTTCAGAATAATATTTACAGATTTGTTTTTATTTTACAATGTAATTCTGTTTAGATATGCCATCTGTACACATTAGAAGTTTAACAAGATGTTATCCTTAATTATCACTTAGCTCTTATTTGACCTTGGCATCTGGTTAAAGCATAAAGTGATGAAAGGGATTATTTCTGGCTTACTTTAAAATGTATATTTATATGGGGATTTCTGAAATTTAAAACTGCATATAGTATTATCTTCATAATATAAACATTGGTTTATAAAGATATTCATAAAAAGAACGTCATTAGTGGCATTTTTATGCTCAAAGAAGATCCAAATTTTATCTCCCTTTCTCCCCCTTTCTTTTTCCTCTAGGGAGGATGGACTGCTCTCATGTGGGCATGTTATAAAGGCCGTACTGAAGTAGTAGAGTTGCTTCTTTCTCATGGTGCCAATCCAAGTGTTACTGGTCTGGTAAGTGTTAATAAGAAATTTATTTGTAATATTAAATGGTACGTATTCTTAGGGAATATTTAAGGCTGATTATACTTGACTTCAAAGAGGATAGAAATTTTCTGAATCTTCTGAATCTTATAAGCAATAATAATGTAGAATGTGCTTTCAAAACATAATGAGAATTTTTTTCTTAAAGTAAGTTTATTTCTCAATTTTTGTCCAACAAAAAGGCAGCTCATAAAGTTTAAATACTAACTATATAACATTTCAAAAAGAGATTTTGAAATCTTTAGTCATCTTTCTGTTTTTTTGTAATTATGCATTCTCAAACTGAACTTCTTTAAAGAAAAGAGACATTTATCAAATAACCATACCAGTTTTCTGTATATTCTGTTATATATACACACAATCCTCTTATTTTACTTTCTTCTAATTAGTATTGCCTCTTGGCTAGATAATCACATTTTAATGTGTTGAATTTATAAATATGTTCATAATGTGTTTATTTAAGGTTGGGTGCATCTCAGTTACCATTTATGTATTGTATTATGAGTGTTTTTAAAGAGGAGAATAGTTTGTTACTTGATTTTTTTAAAAAAAATATTACTTTGTGTTACTTCCTTTGATATTCACTTTACTTAGCCAATATGTTTTGAATGTCCACCTAAAACATTTTGTTTCTTTCCCATCCTTACTCCCTTCTTTCCTTCTTACCCATCTACCTTCCTATCTCCCTACCTACCTACCTATCTATCCCAGCAGTACAGTGTTTACCCAATCATTTGGGCAGCAGGGAGAGGCCATGCAGATATAGTGCATCTTTTACTGCAAAATGGTGCTAAAGTCAACTGCTCTGATAAGGTAGGTCAGCACAATTTTCCCAGGTTCCAGTCCATGTTATGTCCACTTAGTGTGTCAAGTTATAAGCATTTTATGTTTTTATATATTAATATATTTTATGTAGATACGTATCTGATATCGTAGCGTCCCGAGTGCAAGGTGCTCTTCTGCAGCGTGCCGTGCCTCTCTTCCTCATCTGCCTTAGTTGCTTTTCATCTGTCCGCCTCAGCTCATTTGATGTCACCTCTAGAAAGCTCCCTAGAATGTTGTTCTATCCTTTTTTTGTTTTTAATCTTTAACACGTACCTCAAATAGTCAATAAGTACATACCTAGTTATCTTATTCTTCCTTATTTTTGGAGAGCTTTGATGGCTTTCACTGTTTCGGGATGAAGCGCAGGCTTCTCAGTTTGGCTTTGGCCAACCTTCTCAGGCTCCCTTCTTGCCATTTCTTTTCATATATGCTGTACTTTGTTTATTCTGTTCCCTATGCTAGAAATGTTATCTCCTCTGTCTAATGAACTTTGATTTGTTTTTCAAGACTCATTTGAGGTGTTATCTTCCTTGTTAAGTCTCCTTAACCTAGGTGCTCCTTCCTTTGTACTGTCAGTTCTGTCTGTGTATACTTTCATTGTGTATGTAACCTGTTGCCTTGTAATGATTGATTTCTGCAGATTTCTTACTTCTAGAGTATAAGTTTCATAAAGATAAGGAATGTTTCTTTTTTTTCTCTTTTTGTACCTCTATTATTTCCTTTAGCTGTCTTAGAACTTAACACATCGTTGGGGTAATTATATTCATTTCAGATTAATAACAGTGTAGCTAAATACAGAAAAATAGCTGTTATTTAAATATTTGTTTTTTGTAATTGGAATAGATTCTGTGGATAAATTTCTCTAAGTGAAACAGTATTGCTTAACCTTATGGGGGTGTTGGAAATCATCCTTATCTTGATATGGATGGTGGTTATACAGGTGGATACAAAAGTAAAAAATCTTCAAAGTAGTACACTGAAAATTAGTGTATTTTTTGCACTTTATGCATGTTATGCCTTATTTAAAAATACTGCATAAAATAATAGCTTAATGCGGAGTATAAGGAAGCTGTTGCAGATATTTATAATATGGCATTTAGGAATATTGCTTTTTATACTGTTTGCTAATTCAAGTTGACTGAGGTTTGAGGTGTGTCTAAAATGGCTGCAAGTTCTGTCAGTGTTTCTGATTTGACAATTTAATATCATGGAGAAACCTTTATTTTCTCCTGGCCTATAGAAAAATATTTATATCTAGCTTAGCCTTCAAGGCTCTCCAGAATCAGGTATTATGCTAACTAACCTGTCATTCTTTAGCATTTTGAGAAAATGTTTAGCATCTACTGTGTTTAGTGCCCTATGCCTTTACTTAGCATAAGAGATATAAAAACAAAGAAGAAGTCATCTCTGTTCACAGAAGCAGGGACATCAGTGGGACATGTAAAATGCAAAGGCTAAGGGTCAAGTGACTTAGGAGTTTAAGGTGGGAGAATTCACTCATGGCTGAGCAGTCAGTAAAGATTGGATAGAAGTGAGACTTAATCTAGATCTTGAAGAAAGGATAGAGCTTATGTTAGGGAAGAGGAGGAGAGGAGATGAACTGGCCACAGGGGAAAATGAGAGCAAAAGCACCAGGGTGTCCTTTGTGTGGGTGTTGAGCTGGCTTGAGTGGATTGGTGTGGGTGGAGCTGGGCTGAGTGTTGAGGAGGGAGTTGAGAGGAAGCCGGGTCACAGGTGGAGCCACCTTCAGGTGGGCCTTGGACACCCCACTGAAGAGATTGGTCCTCTACCCTGTAGATACAGAAGAGCACTGGAGAATCTAAGTAGTAGATTGGCACAAAGTGGTGTTTTACAAAAATTAATGTTTGGTAGCGCCCTGTGGGATGGATTGAAGACTAGGAGAATATTTTTATTGCTGATAGAACTAGGGAGGTTTCTGTGCGAACTAATTTTTTGAGAAGGAAAATGAAAAAGTTCTTTCAGATGTGTTGACTTTGAAGTGGTGGGGCACCTGTAGTTAGGCCACCTGCGAGATTGTGGACATCTGCAGGATAGAGGCTTGGGCTGCTGGTGATGAAGGGCTTACGAAGGTGATTCTGAAAGTTGTGAGTTGGATTGGTAACTGGGATCAGTAGCATTGCAATTGCAGTGCTCTGAGCAAAGGGCTGATTATTAGGAGTGTCTGCAGAGGTGGCAGAATTTGGCTGGCTCAACGTCGAAGGTGATGAATGAATTGAAAGTTCAAGTTGGAAGGGACAGTCACTTTAGTTCAGAATACTGCAGGGCTTTCAGGAAGAAAAGAAAGAACTGGCTAGTAGATCTTTAGATCTAGGGTTTAGGTGACTATCAGCGACCTCGGGGATAGTGGTTTTTGAATGTCTATAGCAGAAACTAGTTTTTAAGGGGCTTTTGGTAAGGAATTATAAATTATTTTGAAATGTTTGAAAGAAAGAACAACTAGTATCTTAAGGGATAGCTTGTTGGAAAAGTTTATTAGGATAGGAGAGACCTAAATTGAAAGGACCTAAATCAGAGACCTATTGGGAAGAGGGAATAAGAAGAAAAGACTGAAGATGTGGGAGGAGATGAAGTGAGGTTCTGGGTGAAACAGGAGGGTGGTAGGATCATGAATACATATGAAGAGATTAGGTTTAGGGGGCATAGAGGCCAGAATTTGAGAAAAAGAGAAGAGAGAGCCTTATTGAGGTAGTTCTGAGTGCTGACTCCGGAGCTGTTTTGAAGTAGACAGGAAGCAAGGTGAGAGATGGTCTTGCTGGATGTTAGAAAATCTTTTTCATGATGAAAGGTGAGATTGTCGGTGGAACATAGGGATGAGGACCAGCTGGCTAATGTGATGGGGTGGGAGAAAGAATAGAAATTATGGCATGTAATCTTGTATTGTTCAGTTTTATAAGAGGGCAAAAATCAAATGTAATAGGTGTTCAAAGGACGAGAACTTAATTATAATTAGTATATTTTAAAAAGGCTTTATAAAGGGTCAATGTCTATGTGTGTTATTTTTCAGGATATCTGAGATCTTGATTTATAAAGTTAGGGAAGGCAATTTAGCCAGAGAAAATGTTATCCACAAAGGAGGAGGCTAGAAAAGGGAATTTAATTCTAGGAGAAGACTACAGATGCAGGAGGGAAGTTGGGAATTTACTCCCCTACTCCTTATTCTGTCTCTCTTAAGCCTCCTTTGAGACAGTGGCTGTAACAACTATTTCCCTTTCATTATTACTTTCCTCCTTTTTGTTAGGCACCTGCTCCCATGTGCTGTATTGGCAGTCTCGTGATTCTGGCTGTCACGAGGTCCCAACCGTCAAGGAAGAGCGCCCAGGGCTACAACCTTCAACAGCGTGGTTGCTGGGGTGTCTGACATAATTTATAGCATGGCACTGCTCAGTATAGTAGCCCCTAGCCGCATATGGGTACTTAGACTCAAATTAATTAAAATGAAATAAGATAAAAATTCATTTCCTCAGTCATACTAGCCATATATCAATTGCTTAATAGTCATATTTGACTCTATTGACTGCTGTATTAGGCAGCACAGAATTATAGAGCATTTCTATCAACACAGAAAGTTCTATTGGACAGGGCTGCTGTAGAGAGTAGATGTTCATTAAATGTTAATTTCTGTCTGTGGGCTCCCAGGTACCTAAAGGTCACTGTGGTATTGATATGTCTGTTGATTGCCAGAGACCCAAAGGTACAGCATTGCCTTTGTGCATGATTTACATTGTCTGATGCCTTCTGAATCATGTTTCAGAGAAAGGTGCTTTTGGGTGCAGTCTCTAGGCTGAAGTTGTCACGTATAGAGGTTGATTTTGGCTGGGGGCAGTGGGTAAGAGCACAGACTCCAAAGCCAGACTTGTTGGGTTCATGGGTCTCTCTTGTTCCACCATTTGATAGCTTTGTGCTTTGGCCTGTTGATTAACATCTCAGGGTCTCAGTTTCCTCATCTGTGAAAATGTGGTATTATGAATTGCACTTACTCTTGTGGTAAGGATTCTGAGTGTTAACCTATGTAAAGTAGTTGGAACTAATTTAGCTTGTTTGGCACTTAGTTGTTACTATTTTCACCTACAATCAGTCTGTTGGACATTAAATTCTATTTCATAAGATATGTGAATTGAGGCTGGGCGCGGTGGCTCACGCCTGTAATCCTAGCTCTTGGGAGGCTGAGACGGGCGGATTGCTCAAGGTCAGGAGTTCAAAACCAGCCTGAGCAAGAGCAAGACCCCGTCTCTACTATAAATAGAAAGAAATTAATTGGCCAACTGATATATATATAAAAAAAAATTAGCCGGGCATGGTGGCGCATGCCTGTAGTCCCAGCTACTCGGGAGGCTGAGGCAGAAGGATCGCTCGAGCCCAGGAGTTTGAGGTTGCTGTGAGCTAGGCTAACGCCATGGCACTCACTCTAGCCTGGACAACAAAGTGAGACTCTGTCTCAAAAAAAAAAAAAAAAAAAAAAAAAGATATGTGAATTCTGTATGACTTTATGATGGAAAAATTGTCACTCATAAAAGTGACATAATTATTGTCACTCATAAAAGTTAAAAAGACATTTCATGCGGTGGTTAATCATCTGTTTAGGAGAAATAAATTGGGAGAAATAGGATTTATCTAGGATTAAAGTTATGATTAGTGTGTGCAGTTATCTAAGAATACTCAAGAGTATGATTTTTATTAAAATTCATGTTAAGAGCTAGTTTATTTTAGTAACCTCTGATAATTTTTAATTTATCGTTTGTTTTCATAGTATGGAACCACCCCTTTGGTTTGGGCAGCAAGAAAGGGTCATTTGGAATGCGTGAAACATTTATTGGCCATGGGAGCTGATGTTGATCAAGAAGGAGCTGTAAGTATCTTATATTTTAACTCCTGGTGATATAGATATGTTTTTGATTTTAAGAGAAAGACTGTTTTTCCTTAGTATTAATATATGTTTGGGAAAATTTCCCTCTAATTCTTGAATGATAGTGACTTAGAAAAACATGCATTTTTTTTTCTTTTATCGTAAGTGTGTTACATTATGAATACTATATACTATAAATATATTTTAAGGATCTATTGCTAATGCATATAAATTTTGTGAGGCTGAAAGTATTGTTAATGGAAAAAGACCCAAACCATGGCCTGGAGAACCATGCCCAAGAAGATTTGAGCAAGTGGTCTTGCCGTGGTTGGGTTTTATACATTTCAGGAAGGCAGGAATGACAGTATAGTCATAAATCAATATATGTAAGTTGCACATTGGTTTGGCCCAAAAAGATAGGACATCTCAAAGCAGGGGATTATAGGTTATAGGTGAGTTTAAAGATTCTTTGATTTGTAATTGGTTAAAGAAGTGAAACTTTGTCTAAAGGCTTGGAATGTTTTAAGTTAAGGAAGTCTATTAATCAGAGACATACCATTGGACATATACCCAGACTCAAGTGATTTGTTAAGTAAATTGATGACTTGCAGGTATGGTTTAAGCTTTATCTTGTATAGCTTTAGGCCTGTTAATGAGTTACAAAGGATATCAACAAGAGAGGAGGTGGGCATGACAAGGCATGTCTGACCTCCCTTCCCATGACCAGCAACTCAGCTTTAGGGTATTTCTCAGGTCCCCTTGCCAAGAGAGAGTCCATTCAGTCAGCTCGGGGACTTAAGATTTTATCTTAGTTCACCGTATAAGTAATAACTTTTAGCAATATTAGTATGATATTATGATATGTATACAGTCATGTGTTATTTAACAATGGGGATATATTCTGAGAAATGTGTTATTAGGTGATTCTACCCTTATGCAAAAGTCTTAGAATGTACTTACTCAAACCTAGATGGCATAGCACACCTGGGTTATATGGCGTAGCCTATTGGTCTTAGGCTACAAACCTGGACAGCAAGTTACTGTACTACACACTGTAGGCAGGCATTTGTAATACAGTGGTATGTATTTGTACATCTAAACATAGAAAAGGTATAGGAAAAATATGGTATTATAATCTTATGAGACTACCATTGTATATGCAGTCTGTCATTGGCAGAAATGTGTTGCACATGACTATATTTTGGTTTTTGTCTGTGTTTCCTAGCTCATTGCTCCCTTGCAATTTCCTAAGTGACTAGAGCAATGAGAGTATCTTTTGTTAACATGTTTTGCCTTTTGTGCTTGGTTTTTGTTTTTTTTTCTGAGACAGAGTCTCACTTTGTTGCCCAGGCTAGAGTGAGTTCCGTGGCATCAGCGTAGCTCACAGCAACCTCAAACTCCTGGGCTCAAGCAATCCTTCTGCCTTATCCTCCTGAGTAGCTGGGACTATAGGCATGTGCCACCATGCCCGGCTAATTTTTTCTATATATATTAGTTGGCCAATTAATTTCTTTCTATTTATAGTAGAGATGGGGTCTCACTCTTGTTCAGGCTGGTTTCGAACTCCTGACCCACTGCGCCCGGCCAATAAACAGATTTTAAAAAGTCAGAAATCAGCTGTCAAAACCTAGAAAGCTTAACAATTGGTTAAAGACATCTTACTGACTAGCAGTTATGAATTCCTTATTGAGTATCACTATGTACCCCCTTTTGCCAAGTGTATCAGGGAAACTGGGGAAGCCTAACAAATTGCATTTCCCTCGAGCTTACAGTAATACAGTTAAAGGAAACAACATTTATACACAGGAAACAGTTAAAATAATATAGATGACTATTTGTAGAATTATTATATTATGTGAGATGGACTGTAAAGAATTCTGAGAAGAGATACCTCCAAGTCTCTGGCTATAATTAAACAAGAGTAAACTCTTTGTATCATACTTTTTTGGTATAATATCAACCAGTTCTCCTGTTTTCCATGTTGGCGGAAGCTACTAATTACCGAACTTGAAACTATGTGTATTGTTTTCGTGCCATGTGGAGACAGCATGATCCATAGGCAGCTGTGAACATCATACCTTCCACTTTTGCTCTTTGTGGACAGTTGGTCAAGTGGATGACTGGCTTGTCTCTCTGGTAACTGACTGCTACAGGATTTGAAAAGCTGTTTTTGGGGCTGATCTAATAATTGAAATATTTCTATAAGAAAATCATATGATATCTTAAAGTAAATCAGCATCTCAAGAAGCAGCTTTTTTTTTTTTTTTTGAGACAAGAGTCTGGCTCTGTTGCCCAGGCTAGGGTGCCATGGCATCATCATAGCTCACCACAACCTCAAATTCCTGGGCTCAAGTGATCCTCCTGCCTCAGCCTCCTGAGTAGCTGGGACTACAGGCGTGTCACCACACCTGCCTATTTTTTTTTTCTTCTATTTTTGATAGAGATAGGGTCTTGCTCTTGCTCAGGTTTGTCTTTAACTCCTAACTTCAAGCAGTCCTCTCACCTTGGCCTCCCACACTGCTAGGATTACAGGTGTCAGCCACCGTTCCTCCTCAAGAAGCAATTTTAACATGTCTGGTAATGAGCCAGATTCTTCTGTTAGGTGACTTATTGCTATCAAATAGATATGCAGTTTTTAAAAGAATGACTTAACACAGTTTTTGAAGTGTAGTTTCTAGATCACTGTAAAAGACAGAGTATATATTATACTTTTCTTGAAATATCCTATAGCTATTAATTCATTAACTTCAGGTTTTCATATTAGTTTTATTATAAAGAATTCTTAGTTTGAAGTCTAATTTGCCTTACTCTGGATTATTTAATTTAGAATGTGTTTAATTTAGTCACCATGCCAACTATTTTATACTTAATTGTGTTAGTGAGAGGGTTTGTTTATTGTGAGTCAGTTTCAGGTTATCATTTAAAAAATGATAATAATAGTTATAATGGCTCAAGAGAATTAACGTATCTTCAGAAACAAAATATGCCTCCTGGCCATTTTTGGTATATGTCTGGTTGTTTATATTGGCATTTTATTGTCAGAAATGAATGTAATAATAGACATCTATTTGAAAACACCTGTTTTATGATTATGGAATACATCGTTATATTTTCTAGACTATACTAATTTCTTGGGCTTGCTTTTTTCTTTTTTAGAATTCAATGACTGCACTTATTGTGGCAGTAAAAGGAGGCTACACACAATCAGTAAAAGAAATTTTAAAGAGGAATCCAAATGTCAATTTAACAGATAAGGATGGAAATACAGCTTTGATGATTGCATCAAAGGAGGGACATACGGAGATTGTGCAGGATCTGCTGGATGCTGGAACATATGTGAACATACCTGACAGGGTAGGTTACCTGTTCATATTGCCTTCTAGTGGCGAAGTGGATGGAGGGTTGCTTTAATTGCCTCTTACCACCTTTCAGGATTCTTCATGCATGAGATAAACTTGTTTTAAGATAGTTTTCATTTCTACCTTTAAAATTAATAAGTTAAAATGATTCAATCTTTTTGAAGAATGTCCATTTTATGCTTGTCAAAAAGTTTTGTTACTGAAAATGTCACATGTACATCTGTAACTGTTCTTGATGTACATCACTGAAGGTGGTGTTCATGACTCAGGTTAGTCATTGTTCCAGGGCTTTAAGTACCACTGTTTATCCTTAAGATTTTCACAGTTCTTTCTATTGTCCTAACTTCTCTGAGGTTCACACTTAAATATCCAACTCTACCTGAACTCTCCACTTGAATGTTTACTTGGCTTCTTAAACTTAAGGCAAATAGATGACCTGGTTTTTTTCATCCCAAACCTGCTTTTCATTTAGTCTTCTCCATCTCAGCAAGTAGTGTGACCATTTGCTCTGTTGTTAAAGCCCCAAGTCATGTGCATTAGCCTCGATTTCTCTCTTTCCTCACCTGCCCCATCCAGTTCTCCAGCACGTTCTGTTGACTCCAAAACATCTCCTTTATCTGTCGCTTCTCTTCATCTCCACTATCACCTCCCCTGCTCAAGCCGCTGTCTTTCATTGTTGTAGCAATAGCATTGCATCTGGGTTATTTATTCTCCACCCTGTTCTCAGAGCAGTCTTTAAAACAATAAATCTCTCATGTACCCCTTTGTTTAAAGCCATCCAAGACTTCCTCCTGCATTTAGTATAAACATTACCTCTTTAGTTTATAGACACTACATAGCATTGTCTTTGCCTCCCTCTTGTCCTCATTTTATACCACTCTTCCCTGTTTCAATAGGTTTCAGACATGTTAGCGCCTTTCCCCTCTTGAACATACTGATCTCACTGATCTCGTTCCTGCCCTGGGGACTTTGCGGCAGCTGTGCTCTCAGCTGGGTGCTGACCTTCAAATACTGGCTCCTTGTCATCTCCCTCAGCTTAAATGTTACCTCCTCTGAAAGGTCATCTTCTACTACTCAGTCCAGAGTAGCTACTGTGTCACTTTCTATCACATTACCCTATTTTAACTTTTTTTGCATAGCATTTGTCTAATTTTTTGTTTCCGGTATATCATCTTTCACCACCAGACTGTAAATTCTCCCAGAGCTGGGACCTTGTCTATCTTGTTTCCCCTGCCTAGCATGCTGCATGGCACATTGTAAGCAGCGAAATACTGGTAACCTTTTATTAATTTACTAGTCTGCACCCATGTTAATGCTAACATTCTCAACTCAGAGTTGTCAGCCTTGGGTTTATTTATCCTATTAATGTGGCAGTTAAGACACTACACTGTGGTGCTAAACTTAACAACCTTTGAGGACCTGCCTCTCGATTTATAGCACATTGGGGCCCTCTAAGGATTGAACTGAACTGCAGCTCCTGAGCCCCAACCCAAAAACCTACAACTGATTTGTAATTTAGCAGTAAATAAAATATTTATGCTATTTGCCAAAATAACCATTTCTAGTATTTGAAGTATTGGGAAGCGGTAATTAAAAATGATTGTTGCTTGATGAATGTAATTTTAGGGCAAAGAGATGTCCTCATGAGCATCTCTTTTGTGTTCATGAGAGAGGTTCTCAACTTTGTCAAAGTTTTGTCCTGGAAATGAATCAGGCTTATGCACTCCTGCACTGTGCCTGCCAAATTGACTAGATATTCATGGATGCTGGTCTGGAAACAAGCCTTTCCCTTAATTAACCCACCGATAGCTTTAGCTTTACCAGCTCCCTCTTGAGAATCCATGGCTTTTTCATGCAGCATTATTCAAAGGGATTTTTGTGTAATTTCCAAATGTTCTTCTAGGTCATTGACAACCACAGTGTCATTTAATTTACATTTGTAATGGAAGATTACCTTCAAAGAGAATAGATTCTTGTTTTGAATAATTTGTCTTTCTAAACTTTTAAAAATGGAATATCAGTGTCCTCTATTTGAGGCATGGAGTCCTTATTCTGAGGGCTGTTAATATCAGGTATTAATATAAGTTAATTAAAATTTTTCTCTTAATTAGAGATAGATTTTTTCCCAAGAAATTTGTCGAAAAAATCTGTTATATTAATAAATGATTAGCCTTAACTTCAAAACAGTGCTTATGTGTTCTCTCTATCAAGTCACCTTGTTTTTTGTCTTTTTAGAGTGGAGATACTGTGTTGATTGGAGCTGTCAGAGGTGGTCATGTTGAAATTGTTCGAGCACTTCTCCAAAAATATGCTGATATAGACATTAGAGGACAGGTATGTGTGATTATAGTACAGCTGTTATCTTTAAGTATGATTGGTTGTATATGTCCATTAATGATAATGTTATTCTTCCCACTTTCCTATGGAGATAAACTTTTATCCCTAATACATTTAATGGATGTATATTATTATTAAGTTTCACTACCATTATAAAATTTCTGTATTTATGTCAAGTTAAATTTAGATCGAAGGAAACCAAAAAGAAGCTCATGTTTTTAGAATGTACTTCCCTTCCTAACATACAAATATATTCAATCCTGAAATGAATAGTGATTGAAACAGTTGAGTGTATGGCACTTATTTATTTCCTTTAGTTTTTTCCCTTTGTTTTGTCTTCTTTATCCATATGCTATTCTTTCATTCTCATTTTAGTTTCTTTTCCTTTTTCCCCATTCTGCTTGCTTTAGCTAGGACCACTTGGTATGGTAGTGCCTATGGACTTTGCTTAAGATAGTCATAGTTCACAGAGCTACAAAGGTTATTAACTTTAGATAAAAGCCTTGCCCATAGTTGTGAATTTATCTAATACTTAAAGAACTTTAGATTAAAAAAAATATTCTGGGTAACTCATTTTGTTGTTGGACAGTCTACATTTCTGCCCACTTTTTCCTTGTATTTAGCCAAAAAAAATCTCTTGTATTCAAATTCATTTTTGAATCAAACTAATAAATATTATGCAAAATGTTTTAGGGGAATTAACATGGGATACTTGCCTTTAAGAAATATGTATTTTTATTTATTTATTTATTTTTGAGACAGAGTCTCAATAATAAATAAAAGAAAAATATATTTATTTATTTATTTATTTATTTTGAGACAGAGTCTCACTTTGTTGCCCAGGCTAGAGTGAGTGCTGTGGCATCAGCCTCACTCACAGCAACCTCAAACTCCTGAGCTCAAGCAATCCTTCTGCCTCAGCCTCCTGAGTAGCTGGGACTATCGGCATGCACCACCATGCCCGGCTAATTTTTTGTATATATATATTTTAGTTGGTCAATTAATTTCTTTCTATTTATAGTAGAGACGGGGTCTTGCTCAGGCTGGTTTCGAACTCCTGACCTTGAGCAATCTGCCCGCCTCGGCCTCCCAGAGTGCTAGGATTACAGGCGTGAGCCACCACACCCGGCCTAAGAAATATGTATTTTTAAGGGAGGAGAAGGGATTGGTATATATAAACATAATGAGTGAGACGTGCAATGTTTGGCGGATGGTCATGCTTGAAGCTCTGACTCGAGGGGTGGGGAGGAGCATGAGCAATATATGTAACCTTAACATTTGTACCCCCATAATATACTGAAACAATAAAAAAATGGAACAAATATATATTTTAATTTGGAAACTTATAGTTTGTTTATGTTTATTTTTATGCCTTTTTTAAACAAAAAGTGAAACCACAAGATGGTATATGATTGATTGCTTAGTGAAATGTTCAAGTATGAGTCTTGAGGTGGGGAAAGATGTTGTTAAGAAAGGAGACTTGAAAGAAGGCAGAACTTGAGCTAAGTTTGAAGATGGGTTGGATTTAGATAGGTAGAGAAAAGGAAGGCTGAGTGTTTCAGGCAAGGGCAGTAGTAATAGGATAAGAACATTTGATAAAATTGTAAAGTGAAAGACTGTATTCCATAGCTAGTGAGTAAATCAGTTTGGCAGTGGGGTGGCAGGTGGGTGGTAGAGAAATTGAAATGGAAAGGAAGATGGGACCAGAGACGTTTGAGGGCCACCCTAAGGAAGTTGGCCAGATAGTATAGCAGGGAACTAACTCCATGAGGGAAATTTTGGTATAGGAAACTTAATGTGGCAGCAGCAGAAAGTCATTCATTATCTTTTGGGTTAAAATCATGTTTTCAATAAAAGATGGTTTCCAGATCACCTATTTAGACTTTTACCTAACTACTTTGTGTCTGTCAATCCTGTTTTCCTATGTTTCAATCAGTTTTTTTGTTCTTTAGCTATACTTTCAAGGCCTGTGTGGATCAAATTTGGGTTTTTGAGCAAGATAGGATTTTTAAGAATCTGATTAAGAAAGTATAGGGGTGCAGGGTAAGTGGAGATTAAGAAAGCTAAAAATGATAAAAACAGTAATACCTATGTTTGTGAAATACATTCTCATGCATTATCTTTTGGAGCATTGGGCAGGTATACTTATACCATATTATAGATGAAAATCTACTGAAACATTGGACGAATATCTTATATTACAGATGAAAATCTTCTGAAACACTGGGCAGGTATACTTATACCATATTACAGATGAAAATCCAAGAGTCAGGATATTTAAGTGACTTGTCTGAGTTTACAGAGTTCAGGCATTGATGACTTCTAACCCAGTACATATTCTTGAAATCTGTTTGCATTACAAAAGTGTAGTTTATTTTATTAACTACATGGGATTGCTGCCTTTTAAGTCAAGCAATGTTAAGTTATCATAGGCTTCTTTCAGAAAGAATTCTCAAAAATAAATCCAAGATAGCATAAAGATTGATATTATTTCCCACCATGCTGCCTGTTCGAATGCTTTTTGACAGAAAAGATGTTTTACAAATAGGGGTTGTAAATATTGTATCTTATATGAAATGATTGCTAATTTTTGTTTTTAATTATATAGGACAATAAAACTGCTTTGTATTGGGCTGTTGAAAAAGGAAATGCAACAATGGTGAGAGATATCTTACAATGCAATCCTGATACTGAAATATGCACAAAGGTATAAATGGTATTTCTATTCTGTTAGCAATACCTAATGCTAAATATTCTGCTCATTTTATTTCAATCACTTTTGATTGGTGTTAGAGTTATATTGATTTTATTGGTAATATTCTATATTAAATTGAGGAATAACTTTTATATCCTTTCAGGATTTGTTTATTCATAGCAAAATGTAGTGTGTAATTTGTTCACTTCAATTAAATACTTTTCAGAAAGTACAATATAAGCTATTCATAAATTGTGGGCAGATTATTTCCTCCAGATTCTTTTATGTTTCTGTTATTGAGAATCCAGAACACATTTCCATTTAAAAGACAATTGTGACTGATGATTGATTCCCCAAACCAGCTACTGTAGCCTACTTTACTGAAATCATATGAAAAATAAAAAATTATATAAGACTTTGGTGATTGTATTTAGCCTTATGTATAGTTGTTTTCCATGGGGAAAATATTATTGGAATTCTGGATTGAAATGGCAGGAATTCTTAATGAATAAAGCAAAATTATGTAGGCACCTGTAAGAAAATCCTGGTAGGTTATTAAACAATATTTCATCTACTGGAGATCTGGACCAGTATATTTCTAAATGAGTGACAGCACCTCCAGTACCCTAGGGCAGAAAAGTTTCTGGGATACCTTCTGGTTTGTAGGTCATTCCTTGATCTTTTTTTTTTGGACCCCTGTGTTAGCCCCTGTGACTACCTATGGCTGGCAATCAGTTTTTTTATCTTTCCTAACTCAGCACTGAATTGTGGTCTCTTCTTATTTCCCTTGGTTTGGTTTTGAAAGCAATCATAAACTCTTTTGGGGTTTCTGAAGGCATCCTGCTTGTATTAAATGGTTTCCAATGTTATACACAGGTCTTTAGGTTTATAGAGAACTTAAGTGACGAAATTTCTGAAAAGCTCAAGATACTGGCCTGCCTGGTTGTTGACAGGCTGGACTGGCGGTTGGTTGGTGGGGAGATGGTGAGAATGGGAAGTAGCCTCTGGAGGGGCTGCCCCAGACGTCAGCAGGGGGGACCTGGTGGTTGACAGGAGCAGCCACTGCTGCTGAGTGCAGGGACTGATGCCAAGTGGGGTTTATAAGCAGGCGGAGACACCCCACACTAGATAAAGGATGCAAAGTTATTTTGATACAAACAGGTGGTTGTGCGAGGAAAGGCACCTTTTTTGTTAGCTTTTAAACTATGTTTTCTTGAGAATATTTTAAATAATAGAATGTTAATAGAGTCAGATATTTTTTGTCAAGTGCATTTGCATGACAAACATTTAGGTGTAAAGCTATTGATACATTAAACTTTCTTCTCTGTGCCCACAGGATGGTGAAACACCACTTATCAAGGCTACCAAGATGAGAAATATTGAAATAGTGGAGCTGCTGCTAGATAAAGGAGCCAGAGTGTCTGCTGTAGATAAGGTAAAGCATCTGTGCAGAAAAACCAAACAAACAAAAAAAGCATCTGTGCAGAGAACACTATTTTTTGTTTTTTGTTTGTTTGTTTTTGGAGGCAGGGTCTCACTCTATTCCCTGGGCTGGAGTGCAGTGGCATCTTCATAACTCACTGCAACCTTGAACTCCTGGGCTCAAGTGATCCTCCTGCCTCAGCCTCTCAAGTAGCTGAGACTACAGGCGCACACCATCACGCCCAGCTAATTTTTCTATTTTTTGTAGAGACAGAGCCTCGCTCTTGCTCAGGCTGATCATTATCTCCTGGCCTCAGTCGATCTTTCCAAAGTGCTAGGATTACAGGCGTTTATCCCTTCTCTTCGTATTATAGCATAAGCTCCTTAAGGGCAGGAACTGTTCTGTCTTCTATCTTTGTGTTCTCCAGAGTGTCCAGCACAGGGCCTTACATACATAAGCTCAATGAACATATAGTTATTGTGCCACATTTAGGACATGGGAAGAAAATCTAGAGGAAAAGTCAAGATGAAGTCATGCCATGAAAGCCACAGAAAGAACAGCACAGGACATTTGCTTGTAGCGCCGTAGAGAGATCAGGGTGGGTGAGAACTGAGTATATAATTTGTTAAGTTTTGAGTCATTGGTTATCTTCAGTAGAGGTGTTTGTGAGGTAATGTTCATAAATGGGAGAGCACTTTGCACAGTGAAGAGGGCTTCTTTGGTTTTTACATACTAGTTTTTATTGGTGTCGGATGTGAACACTAATGTGATTGGAGAGTCTAATAAGGGAAGAAGGTGGGCTGATGTTAAGGAAAAGCGAAAGGTGAGGAGAGTGGAAGAGATTGTAGCAGTCAGAGGACAGATATTACATAAAAGACTCAAAGGTGGAGAATGTAAAGCAACGAAATTTGAGGCTCACCATAGCTGGCAATAGGTCGACAAAGGTCACAGGAACTGTCTGAATGCCTCGTTAGATGGGATTTCAAGCATGGATCGTGGGGCTTTCTAGACAAACGAGGAAAGCTGTGAAATAGAATATAAATTAGTTGAGGAAGGTGATTGACATCTTTGGACAGTGAATATTTGGGTGATGGGTAGATCCAAACCAAGTGGATCCATGGCCTGGGAGGAGCTGCAAGGAGGAAGGACGCCTGTTGCTTCTCCTCTCAGTGAGTTGAGGGAAGGGGAGAAGAATGGCCTTCTTTCTGGAGGGAGTTGGGAGGAGTGATATCTGTGAAAAGCTGGGGAAGAAACTGGAGAAAGAAATTGTGGGGAAAGTAGAAATAAAAATTCATATTTTGTGTGTGCTCTAAATGAAAAATATGAAAGGATCAGATTTTCTATGATTTTACAGAACATGAAAATTGTTACTCTATATATGTAGAAAATGTGAAAATATAAAAATGTGGAAGTTCAAGTTTCATCCTGTTGTTTTACAGAAAGGAGACACTCCTTTGCATATTGCTATTCGTGGGAGGAGTCGGAAACTGGCAGAACTTCTTTTAAGAAATCCCAAAGATGGGCGATTACTTTATAGGCCCAACAAAGCAGGCGAGACTCCTTACAATATTGACTGTAGCCATCAGAAAAGCATTTTAACTCAAATATTTGGAGCCAGTAAGTATTGAGTTTTACTCCTAACTGAGCTTTTAAATAATGTTCTATCTTAAAAATATGAAAAATAAGAGGCCAATGGCACTTTTGCATTGTCATTCAACTAGAAAATATCAAAGTTGAGAAAGTTATGATTTTAATGTGGGAAAGTTGTTCTCCCTATCTAAAGTTCTCCCGAATTGTAGCATTCTAAATTAAGTACATTCAGAGTCATCAGTCAGCTTTTATGGACCTCTGAAAATCTGGCCAACTTTTCTGAAAGTCTTTTCCCCCACTGTTGCCCAAGTTTACTTTGTGCTTTTATCACAGCATTCTCTGTTTCTGTGTGTGGCCCTGGCATGTCTTGTTCTCTGCCTTTGTGTTTTACCCCCTCAGTCCATCCTCTCCATCCCAGGAATGCTCTCTTGTTACAGGGAACGCTCTCCTTCAAGGCTCATTTCATGTCACCTGTTCCCTTCTCAGTGACTTTAACTGATCTGCCTAACCAGATAAAATGTTTGCCTCATTAGCATACTTAAGCACTTGTGTTTATTTTTCTTTTTTTATACTGACTACATATAGCCTTTATTTCTTTTAGGATTTTCCCCTTTCCAGATCCCAAGCTCTTCACTGTTTCTTAGCTTTGTGTCCTCTGTAACATCTAGTATAATGCCCTGAATATGGTACTAACATAATAAATAATTTTTTTTTTAAGAGACAGTGTCTTGCCCTGTCACCCAGGCTGGAATGCAGTGGCATGATCATAGCTCACTTCGACCTTGAACTGGGCTCAAGTGGGTCTCCCACCTCAGCCTCCCGAATAACTGAGATTACAAGCATGAGCCACCATGCTTGGCTTAAAATGGTTTTTGATTGACAAGAATGCACATGAGAATGTTATCATTCATATGTGCTGTTTTGAAATATGAAACAATTTTTTACTAGATTTCAAAAATTATGTTAGCCCCAGAAACCAACAGGATTTAGTAGAATGCCATCACCTCCCAGTTTAGCTTTTATATCTTATTTATAAATATGATTCTCTTTCATTATGAGTTTTTCTATTTTAAAATATTTTTTCTGATTAAAATAGTAATGCACCCTCATCACATTTTAAGAATGAAAACATGAATATAACAGAAAGAGCCACTTCCCCATTGTTCCCTGTCTCCCAACTTGTAGAGATCATTGTTTGAATGACACTCCAGGCTTTTCTTTACATTTATAGAAATGTTTTATACTAAGTATGTAGTTTTAAAAAAATGAGTCATTGCTATGTTATAAGTTTTGAATACTGAATTATATCATATTTTAATTACATAATCTTTCATCATAGATTCTGATAGTGCATTGAGTTCTCTGTTGATGAATATTTAGTTTATTTTGCTATTAACAACTAGTGTTGGCTGGGCGCAGTGGCTCCCGCCTGTAATCCTAGCACTCTGGGAGGCCGAGGCGGGAGGATTGCTCGAGGTCAGGAGTTCAAAACAGCCTGAGCAAGAGCGAGAACCCATCTCTACTATAAATAGAAAGAAATTAATTGGCCAACTAATATATATAGAAAAACTTAGCTGGGCATGGTGGTGCATGCCTGTAGTCCCAGCTACTCGGGAGCCTGAGACAGAAGGATTGCTTGAGCCCAGGAGTTTGAGGTTGCTGTGAGCTAGGCTGATGCCACGGCACTCACTCTAGCCTGGACAACAAAGTGAGACTCTGTCTCCAAAAAAAAGCCCCCAAAAACAAACAACTAGTGCTGCAGTGAACAGCTTTGTACACGTATTCATTGACTCTTATTTTTAGGATTATTTTCTTAGGGTAAATTCCTAGAGGTAGAATTACCAAGTCATTGCCCACAGTTTTGACAGACTTTCCCACATGGTTGTAAAAATTTGTTCCCCTGCTGGCAATATAAGATAGCACAATTCCCCACAACCTTGCTGATGTATTTCCAGCCTCTTAATCTTTGCTAATCAGATCAATAAGAAAAAAAAAAGATCTAATTTTAATTTGTGTTTTAAACTTATTAGTGAGATTGAGATCTTTTAATATATTCATAGGCTATTTGTATTCTTGCAATTTCCCTTTTTGCATCCTTTGTCCACTTTTTAGTTTTTAATATTTTTTAAAAATTGATTTTAAATGTCTTTATATGTTATGAATATCAATCTTGGGACCATCCTATATTTTGTATTCACCTCCTCCTAGCTTACTCTTGGTTTATGGTCATGGTGTTTTTATTGTCTCTCTAAAATTTATACATTTTTCTAGTTTGTTCTTTGGTCTTTTACTATAGTTTTGGTCCTGATATTATATTAAGAAAGACTTTTCCAACAAAGATTTTTTAAAGTTTCTCTTATATTTTTGTCTAGTATTTTTATGGTTTTATTTTTTATATTTAATTTTTTGATGTTTCAGAAATTTAATTTTAATAGAGGCTATTAAGTATGTTAATGCTTTTAGCTATATTGCCCAGGCTGGCTTCAAACTCCTGGGCTTTAGTGATCCTCCCGCCTCAGCCTCCTGAGTAGCCAGAACTACGGCCACCTGCCACCAAACCCGTCTGTGTAGCATTTTAATTTAATTTATATCTTAACAAATAAATGGTCAAACTCTCCTAAAACCACTTGCTAATTCATCCTTTCCTTTCTCCCTTATTTTAAGTGCCACTTATGCTAATATCCTGTACGAGTTCTGCAATGTTCTAATTATTATAGTTTTAATATTTTTATTCTTCTCCAGAGACAACTACCTTTTGGTAGTCTTTACAGTTTTTTTCTTAGCTATTCCTACATGGTTGTAAAAATTTGTTCCCCTGCTGTCAATATAAGGTAGCATAATTCCCCACAACCTTGTTGATGGGAATGGGAGTATTTCCAGCCTCTTAATCTTTGGTAATCAGATCAGTAAGAAAAAAATTCTCATTTTAATTTGTGTTTTAAACTTATTAGTGAGATTGAGATCTTTTAATATAATCATAGGCTATTTGTATTCTTGCAATTTCTTCTTGCTTTTCAATTTAAAACGATTCTTGTGGGTTTTAATTAGAATTGCCCTAAAGTGTTAGATTAATTTGAGAGCATTGCTGAACCTTTCTGCCTCAAGACATAGTGGGCAGAAAGGCTCAGCGTATCTATCATGTTCTTTAGTAACATATCTATCATGTTCTTTAGTAACGTTTGTAACTTTCTTTACGTGGGTGTTACTCATGTTAAATTCTTATGGACTAGTTTGTGTTTTAATTATCTTTTGTTGATTCTAAAATACACATTATTCTATAATGCATTTTAACATCTATGAAATTGAAATGTGTCCTGTAAGTAATGGATAAGAAAGTATTGTGTCAAAATTTAGCAGAATTTTTTTTCTTTCTTTCTTGTACATAAAAGTGATACCTCTTGTAATTGATAGGTAACCTAAATTCTATTAAATATAATATTATAGGTCTAAACATTTAAAATAAGTTTTTTTTCTTTTTAATTGAATAACAAATGAGAATGGATATTCCTTTTTAATAGTAAAGTCCACTGTTTAATGTAAGGATATTTTGTGTTTCTAATTACAGGACACTTGTCTCCTACCGAAACGGATGGTGACATGCTTGGTTATGATTTATACAGCAGTGCCCTGGCAGATATTCTCAGTGAGCCTACCATGCAGCCTCCCATTTGTGTGGGATTGTATGCACAGTGGGGAAGTGGGAAATCTTTCTTACTCAAGAAACTGGAAGGTAAAGGGCCTTCTCATGCAAAGTCTGTATATATAACAGGGTTTTTCTCTGAGCCTTTTTCTGAAGTGAAGGAAAAGGCAGAGCTTTCTGTATGAGCATGTGTGTTGTGTTATACAGTTTACTGACGTGAGCCTGTTAGAGTTTTACTCACCTCTGGTTGATCCTCCACACCAGGAGTCTTCAAACTTTTTAAACAGGGGGCCCCAGTTCACTGTCCCTCAGACCGTTGGAGAGTGCACACTGTGGGCCCAGGATGAGTCGGCTGCTAAGCAGGACAGACAGTGGCAGCAAAAACACCCAGAGAGCTGGATAAATGTGCTAGGCGGCCCGTATGTGGCCCTCGGGCTGTAGTTTGAGGACGCCTCCTCCACACGGTCATTTGAGTTCTCTTTCTAAAACAAAGCCAGTTCTGTGAACACCACATGAAACCCTGGCAACAGGTTTTCCAGGCCCTTCACAAACTTGTCCATTTGCACAGCTCCACCTGCCAGCACCACCTCTGGCACGCACCTTGTGTGTGCTGTGGTCACAGAGGACTATTTGCTCTTCCAGGAATAGACTGGATACTTTTTCAGAGTTGCTATCTCTGCTAGGAGCTGCTTAGACAGCTTCCCCCCTACTTCCTACCCAACACACACCCCTTTTTACTTGGTAAAATCTTACTCATTTTTCAAGGACAGTTTTCAGCATTGCCTGTAAAATTTTCCCCAAGTTTTATATGAAGAATGACTTGATGAGTTGGGCTCATATGGACTCAACACACACCTTTAAGAACAATATTCTTGAATGTGATTGGAGGGAGAAGAGGGGAGGAGGAATAGAGAGGAATGGTGAAGATAAGTACTTTGAAGACACAGAGTTTTATTTTCATTTTTGCATATGGAACAATACCTTGCTGTCTAATATAAACCATAAAAACTAAATACCAACAAAATCTTGACAAATGGAAGAATATGAAAAGAGATTTTACACATCCTCAATGTGAAACAGGGGAATGGTAGCTGTGTCCCTGGGGAACAAGATGTTTATATTAATATTTGGCAAGAGAATGTTGGTTAAAGTGGTAAGTAGCAATGTTCTATCTAGGGACCTAGTAAATGCCCAGTGAATGTTTCTGTTGAAAATGTGAACATTGCAAATTGAGTTAAAAGTTATATTTCTTAAATAAGTAGGAATAAAATTTTTCATATTTCTCTTTCAGATGAAATGAAGACTTTCGCAGGACAACAGATTGAACCTCTTTTTCAGTTTTCATGGCTCATAGTATTTCTTACCCTGCTGTTTTGTGGAGGGCTTGGTTTATTGTTTGCTTTCGCAGTCGACCCAAATCTTGGAATAGCAGTGTCATTGAGCTTCTTGGCTCTCTTATATATATTCTTTAGTAAGTCTTTATTTTTTGGCATTTTAAAAAATGTAAGAAATGTCAAGACTCAGTATTTTACTGAAACATTATTTATATCTGTCTTTTAAAACCTATATGTGATTTTTATAAGTGAGTGAGAAAATTGATCTTTTTGCTATTTTATAAATTGGCCTAGAGGAACATTGTCACTACTGGGCTAGAGTAGCATATAAATGAGTAGACTACTTGTTAATATTGAAGCAGGACTCTAATTTTTTTATACTTACCTTTTTATATGATAATTAATGATTTATATTTAAATCTTTTCTGAAAAGAAGGCTCCAAGCCATCACTGGCATGCTCTTAAGCATTTTGACTATGACTGTAATTTTTATTTTTATCTAAAAGCAAAGTAAAAAATATATATATAATTCCCTGTTCTTGGGGGTATCTTCACTTGCAAGAAAGGAAATAGATTTACTATTAGAGGAACTGGTAACTTCACCAATTGCAAATACTGATAAACCCAGTCATTTGCATTTGGATCTGAACTACAGATATGTTTCTGTTTAAGGCATTATATTTCTGATTATGTTTCTTAGATCATATTTGAATTAGTTCACCTTTCATTTTTCACATATTTTCTATATCTTAGGATAGGTTAATTGAATTATTTGAGAAGTAGTTAGGAAATAATATGGGGACCACAAAAAGTTATGTCTGCTTAGCTGTCATTACTTGATATTTTACTGTGTAGAGGAAAGAAGCTACGTGGCTAATGACTGTTTTGGATAATTTTTTACAATGGTGCATTTCAGTTGTCATTTACTTTGGTGGACGACGGGAAGGAGAGAGTTGGAATTGGGCCTGGGTCCTCAGCACTAGGTTGGCAAGACATATTGGCTATCTGGAACTCCTCCTTAAATTGATGTTTGTGAATCCACCTGAATTGCCAGAGCAAACTACTAAAGCTTTACCTGTGAGGTCAGTTGCTCCCTTTGACAGAAGTAACCTTTAATAAGTTTCAGTAAAAAAATTTTTTCACTTTAAAAGTTTATAATTATGCATCATTTCTCAATGTATGTTGAGAAACACGTTGGTACCTTGAACTTTTTAATGAAAAAAGTGAAAATAACATGTGCGATCAAATACATTGGGAAATACTTTATATATTCCTGTTGTATATTAAAGGATCAGAGATACTTTTCTATAAAGAAACCTGTTTAACTTTATTTGCCAAATTTTATTTGGACATAAACCATTTTTTCCCCTTATGTCACCTGTTACTGTCATTTGGAACACCCTCTGAATAGATGACTGGATAAAGGATGAGGTCCTGCCACCAGCCTACTTCATCCAGGTTGGAGGCCCGGCCCCTCCTTATCTGAGCATATAGGCTCGGGAAATTCAGCTTGCTTCTCTGAGCTGCTCTTTCCTCACCTCTGGAAATATACTTATATATCTGAAAGTATTATTCATATTCAATAGGAAATTTATTAGAAAGCGGAAAAGATGATAAACACTTAAGTCAGGGGGTAAAGGAAAGGTAGAGGGCTCCAGAGGAAAGTAAAATGAAAAAAAAAAGAAAATTAAAAGCAAAAGAAATTTGATAGAAAGGTAGAAAAAAAATTAAAAATGCATTAAAAGATGAAGAATTTTAAAATTAAAATGTGTAATTTAAGATGAAAATAAATAGGCCAAACCAGATGAAATATCAAAACTGAATATGAGAGGAAAATAAAGGGGAAAGCTTCCAAGTAATTAGCATATGAGATTAATTATTAAGAAAAGGATTCAAAAATGAAAAAGTTAAGAGGAAAACATACAGAGTAGAATAAAATAATTGGGGGAAATATTTTTACAGAAAATAAGAAAAACTCTCAAAATTAATGAGATCATATGTTTTTACAAGTTGGAACAACTAAAATAGCATCAGTCAAGACCACACAATATAGTACAGTGTAATACTAGATTGTATTTTGAAAGCAATGCTTATCTACTGGGTTGAGATTAGAGTTTAATTTAGAGATGAAAGAGAAAAAAGGAACTCATGCAGAAATCATGATGTAGAGACTAAAACCCCCAAAATACAGTTATTTTGAAGAACAATTGTGAAAAGAATATCTTACAGCTATTTTTAAATCTCTGATAGATGTTGAAGCTATAAATAAGACATTCTAAAACTTGAGTTTTTAAATGGCATTACTGGGCTTACAATTCTTTAATGATTGTAATTAATATTTTCTCAGGGTTGTAATCTCTGTTAGAAAACTTTGAAAAACTCTGTGTGGTCACATCCCAACATGGGCGTCACCTAATCACCATATTGTGAAATCTGTTGGTGTCTAATATTCCTAGTCTAAGCTCTGTCATACCTTTTTTCCCTTCTGCCCTTGTTAGAATTACTTCATATAACTCTGCTGCATTTAACTTTTTTTATTATTTTTTTTTCCTAAAAAAAGTATATAAGATATTATAAGTAGAAGGTACCTAATTACAAGTTCTTTTCTCTCCTTGGAACTTAAAAAACATTTTGAAAGAGACATAAAGAAAATATAGGATACAGATATATTAAAGTTATTTGTTACTTGCTACCTGAGTAATGTTTTATTTGTTCTTTTCCACAAGGTTTTTGTTTACAGATTACAATAGGCTGTCCAGTGTAGGTGGAGAGACTTCGCTGGCTGAAATGATTGCGACCCTCTCGGATGCGTGTGAAAGAGAGTTTGGCTTTTTGGCAACCAGGCTTTTTCGAGTATTCAAGACTGAAGATACTCAGGGTAGGAGTTCCTTCTTTTTCTTCTTTGGGTGTCATATTTAAGGGTTGAGGGTGGGATGAATGTTTAGTTTATTTTCATGAAAACACAACTTGAATATCAGACTCATCAGATGCCATGCCTGTAAAGGATTTTCTAGATATTTGATATGTTAACAGTTGTTAAAACCATTTGTTGTATTATAGGTAAAAAGAAATGGAAAAAAACATGTTGCCTCCCATCTTTTGTCATCTTCCTTTTTATTATTGGCTGCGTTATTGCTGGAATTACTCTTCTGACTATATTCAGAGTTGACCCCAAACATCTGACAGTGAATGCTGTCCTCATATCAATCGCATCTGTAGTGGGGCTGGCATTTGTGTTGAACTGTCGTACGTGGTGGCAAGTGCTGGACTCTCTCCTGAATTCTCAAAGAAAACGCCTCCATAATGCTGCCTCCAAACTACACAAATTGAAAAGTGAAGGATTCATGAAAGTAAGCACTCATTGGTTATCAGAAAAAATTGTAATGTGAATATGCCACCACTACCATGCCCATTTGGGTTTTAGGGCATATACTCTCTAAATGTTAAAAGTGTTGCATTTATTTTAGTTTAGTTAATATGTTAATTAATTCATTCAAGACTATTATTTAAAAGAGATCTCCCATATGCCCTTTGCCCCCATCCATTCATGGCCTCTCCCATTATCAACATCACCCACCAGAGCTGTACCTTTGTTACAGTTGATAAACTTACACATTATAATCACCCAAAACATATAGTACCTTAGGGATCAGTCTTAGTGTTGTACATTCTGTGGGTCTAGACAAATATATGATGACATGTATCCACCATTATAGTATCATACAGAGTAGTTTCACTGCCCTAAAATCCTCTGTGCTCTGCCTGTTCATCCCCTCTCTCCCAACCCCTGACAACCCACTGATTTTATTATCTGTGTAATTTTGCCTTTTCCAGAATGTCATACAGTACATACCCTTTCAGATTGGCTTCTTTCATATAATAATAAGCATTTGAGTTCCTTCTGTGTCTTTTCATGGCTTGATAGCTCATTTCTTTTTAGCATCAGATAATGTTCCATTGTCTAGATGCACTGCAATTCATTTATCCATTCACTTAATGAAGGACATCTCTGTTGCTTCGAAGTTTTGGCAGTTACTAACAAAGCTGCTGTAAACTTATGTATGTGTGCATGTTTTTGTGTGGGCTTAAGTTTTTAACTCCTTTGAGTAAATAACAAAGAATGCAGTTGCTGGATTATATGTTAAGGGTATGTTTAGTTTTGTTAGAACCCACCAAACTGTCTTCCAAAGTGGCTGTCTCATTTTGAGTTCCCACCAGCAATGAATGAGGGTTCCAGTTGCTCCATATCCTTGCTAGTATTTAGTGTTACTGGTGTGCTGGATTAGGGCCATTCTCATAGGTGTGTATTGGTATCTTATTGTTTGAATTTGCTTTTCCCTGATGACACATGTTGTGGAACATCTTCTCAGGGATAATGAAGAGATGGCTTCTTTGCCATCTGTATATCTTCTTTGATAAATTGTCCATTGAGATCTTTGGCCCATTTTTTTAATCAGGTTGTTTTCTTACTGTTGAGTTTTAAAAGTTTTTTGTATATTTTAGATAACAGTGCTTCATCAAGTATGCCTTTTGCAAATACTTTCTCCTATTCTTTGAGTCACTTTTTCATTCTCTTGGCAGTGTCTTTGCAGAGCAGAAATGTTTAATGAAATCTAGTTTATTAATTCTTTCTCTCATGGATTATGCCTTTAGTGTTGTATCTAAAAAGTTAACACCAAGCCCAAAGTCATCTAAATTTTCTCCTCTGTTATCTTCTAAATGTTTTATACTTTTGCATTTTACATTTAGGTCTGTGATCCATATTGAGTTAATTTTTGTGAAGTGTGTAAGGTCTGTGTCTAGGCCTTTTTTTGCATGTAGATATCCAGTTGTTCCAGCACCATTTGTCAAAAAGACTATATTTTCTCCATTGTATTGCCTTTACTCCTTCATCAAAGATCATTTGACTGTATTTGTGTGGCTCTATTTCTGGGTTCTCTGTTCTGTTCCATTGATCCTATTTGTCTATTCTTTTGCCAATACCACCGTCTTGATTACTCTAGACTTTACTCTTTTTTGTAAGTCTTGAAGTTGGGTAGTATCAGTCCTCCAACTTTGTTCTTCTTCAGTATTGTGTTGGCAATTCTTTCAATAGGTGGGCATGAGCCACCGTGTCCAGCCTATCTTCTAATACATTTAGTGTTATACATTTTATAGTATAATACATATATCTCATGTATTTAGTATTATACATTTTCCTCTAAGCACTTCTTTTGCTGCATCCCAAAAATTTTAATAAGTTATGTTTTCATTTTTAGTTCAAAACATATTAAAATTTCTCTTGAGATTTCTTTTTTGACCTATGTGTTATTTAGAAGTGTGTTTTTTAATCTCTACATATTCTGAGATTTTCCAGTTATCTTTCTGATTTCGATTTCTAGTTTAATTCCACTGAGAGAAGACATTGTATGATTTCTATTCTTTTAAATTTGTCACAGTGTATTTTGTGGCCAAGAATGTCATCTGTCTTGGCAAATGCTTATGTGAGCTTGAGAAGAATGAGTATTCTGCTGTTGTTGGATGAGGTACCTGTAGCTATTGGTTATATCCAGTTGATTGATGGTATTGTTGAGTTCAACTGTGTCCTTACAGATTTTCTGCCAACTGGATCTGTCCACTTCTGAGTGGTGTTGAAGTCTCCAACTGTGATGGTGAATTGATCTATTTCTCTTTGCAGTTCTATCAGCTTTTGCCTTATGTGTTTTGATTCTCTGTTCTTAGGTGTATAAATGTTAAGGATTATTATGTCTTCTTGAAGATTTTACTCGTTTATCATTATATAATGTCCTTCTTTAATTCCAGTAACTTCCCTTGCTTTGAAGTCTCCAGTCAGAAATTAATACAGCTCTTCCTACTCTCTTTTGATTAGCATTAGCCTGGTATATCTTTCTCTATTCATTTACTTTTAATCTATTTGTCCTTTTATTTAAGGTGGATTTCTTGTAGGTAATATGTACTTGGGTCTGGTTTTTTGATCAACTCTGACAATCTCTGTCTAAGAGTTTAATTGTTGTCTTTACAACATTGACATTTAAAGTGATTATTGGTATGCATTAGATTAGTATCTACCATTTTTGTTACTGCTTTCTATTTGTTACCCTTGTTTTTAGTTCTTATTTTTGTCTTTCACTTTTTTTCCCCTGACATTTGTTTCAGTTGAGTGTTTTTCCGTTTTTTCACCATTCTTAGCATATCAGGTATACTTTTTTTTTTTTTTTGAGACAGAGTCTCACTTGGTTGCCCAGGCTACAGTGAGTGCCATGGTATCAGCCTAGCTCACAGCAACCTCAAACTCCTGGGTCAAGCAATCCTTCTGCCTCAGCCTCCTAAGTAGCTGGGAGTACAGGCATGGGCCACCATGCCTGGCTAATTTTTATATATATTTTTAGTTGGCCAATTAATTTCTTTCTATTTTTAGTAGAGACGGGGTCTCGCTCTTGCTCAGGCTGGTTTTGAACTCCTGACCTTGAGCGATCCACCCGCCTCAGCCTCCCAGAGTGCTAGGATTACAGGCGTGAGCCACCGTGCTCGGCCTTTTTTTAAAACTTTTTTTTAGTGGTTGCCCTAGAGTTTGAAGTATACATCTACAGCTAATCCAAGCTCATTTTCAAATAATATTATACTGCTTCATGGATCATGTATTTTATAATAAAATGATCCTAATTCCTCCCTCCATTCCTTGTATCATTGCTGTCATTAATTTCACTTACATGTATAAGCATATATAATAGGATATGTACATGATATATGCATAAGCATGCATAATCAGGAGTAGCCACTTGTAAGATACTTACATGTACGTGGAACGAGAAAACAGAGGTCCTCGTATTTATTTTAAATTATATTTCAGATTTTTTTTGTGAAAATATATATTTAGAGTGAGAAAAATTATAACTACAATATTTTTATAAAATAGGCTGTTATAAGTTAGTCAAAGGAGTTAGCAGATTATTCCACAGATGACAATTGTTATCTAATAATATAAATTCTTCTAGAGCCCAGTCAAGTAAGCAGATCTGTTTTTAAAAACAATGGATTGAACCACCAAAATGTATAAAGTAGGACTGTACTTTTCAAACTAGGAGGAACTTTATAGAATTCTGCAGTCCATTCCTTTGAGCAGGGTCAGGTGCCATAGGGAGCCAATGATAGTGTGGTCTTCCATCGTTTGGATTTGCATTCAAATCTGAGGCTTTTGACATTCAGAATATGTGGTTTTGGCAAGTAAGTCACTCGACCCAGTTTGTACTTTTTAAAATGGACATGTGACATTGCACGGGATATGACAGTGCATGATGGACATGACAGTATCTACCTTATAGTGTTATTCTGAGGGTGAAGTGCAATAATTTATGTGTAGTCACTTTCTAAGTTGTCATGTGCTCAGTACAGTTTCAAGGAGAACTACAACTGGCAGCAAGGACTGAATTTCTTTTGTTCCTGAGAACATGTGATATTTGTTTGTCCTTTCCTGAGATACTTCACTTAGGATAATGGTCTTCACTTCATAGAAGTTTCTGCAAAAGACATTTCATTCCTTTTTATGGCAGAGTAGTACTCCGTGGTGTGTGTGTGTGTGTATTTTTTTCTTTCTCCACTCATCTGTTGATGGGTACTTAGGGTTAATTCCATACCTTTGCAATTGTGAATTGTGCTATGATAAGAAATGTGTTTAACCTTCTATCTTAAGTGCTTTCTGTACTTTACTTTGTGCAGGTTCTTAAGTGTGAAGTGGAATTGATGGCCAGGATGGCAAAAACAATTGACAGCTTCACTCAGAATCAGACCAGGCTGGTGGTTATCATTGATGGATTAGATGCCTGTGAGCAGGACAAAGTCCTTCAGATGCTGGACACTGTATGTTTGAACCGTCTCGAAACTTGTCATTGTTACATTGTGGCAGCTAAGAGGATATATGGCTTCATGAAATATCTCAAATGGAATGGAAACCGTGGTTTTATCTGATTAGTACTTATTTCTCTTGTGATTTTTCTTTTGTAAAAACAGCCATTCTTTAAACAGAAACATAGCAAAAATAAATGTTTCATTACAAAAAGATTTAAATAATTTTAGCTTAATGGTAGTGTCGGAAAAAAATGAATAGAGCATCTCTTAAGTCCATAGCATGGCTTCAGCTTTTCTTTGTAGATAGTTATGATTAGACTCTGAGATAATTTAGGGAACCCACAGAATTTGTAGAGTTCTTTGTTAAAGTAGGGTATGTTGGAAGCTCTATAAGGTATGTTATTAGCAACAGGGGGCTTAACTGGGGGCAGAGACCAGTGTGCCCAGCACTTTATGTGTGTTTCCAACGTGTGTTGATCTTACCTCTTACGCAGACTATAATCATTTCAGAGTAGGACAGTATTAATTGTTTTCTTTTCAGGTTTAGTCACTTTCAGATAGTGGCAAGCCCAGACTGAGCTGTCAATAAAATTTGCTTTCATATAGTATAAATTCTGATGAAAAAGCAATACTATTTAAAAAAAAAAAAACATAGTCACCAAAAGACAGCACATATTTTGAAGAGTTGTCTTATTGTTTCAGATAATTTAAAATTTATGTCACAAGTATACATTTCTTCTACCACAGGTCCGAGTTCTGTTTTCGAAAGGCCCATTCATTGCCATTTTTGCAAGTGATCCACATATTATCATAAAGGCAATTAACCAGAACCTCAATAGTGTGCTTCGTGATTCAAATATAAATGGACATGACTATATGCGCAATATAGTTCATTTGCCTGTTTTCCTTAATAGTCGTGGACTAAGCAATGCAAGAAAATTTCTTGTGACTTCAACAACAAACGGGGACATTCCATGCTCGGATACTGCAGGTAAAGATCAAGCTCCTAAAGTACTTTGAGTTTGAAATAGTTTTTTAGTTTTTTATGGTGACTTTCCTTTTACCTTGAAAAATATTGTTGAAAGTTCATGTCTCTAAATATACAACAGAATTTTACAGTAAACAATGCTGTTGATAAATTCTTTAAGGGATACAGGAAGATGCTGACAGAAGAGTTTCACAAAACAGCCTTGGGGAGATGACAAAACTTGGTAGCAAGACAGCCCTCAATAGACGGGTAAGATGCCATTGGTTTTGAGCTGTATGTTATTGCTATTTATTTGAATGCAAATAAAGTTAAGGTGATGCCACTTAAATAATCTTTTGTGAATATTGTATTAAGCTCTTCAAAAAAGTGTTACCATTGAATTTCCTTTCAGCTTCAGGTGTTTCAGGGACTGTCTGCACCTAGAGCCCTAATGACTGTACATCACATAGAGGTCCCTTGTCCTCTCTCAGCCTATTCTCAGCCTAAGTGCTGTTCCAGATCCCAGGCCAATAGAATGGAAATCTCTTGAGAGTGAGATTTTAAAGCTTGCCAGATACTTTCATCCATGGTTGGGAACCACTGTGTACATTCCTGGTCAGGTTGAGATTATTACTGTTGCTGCCACAGCTGTAGGGGAGAAAGGTTTGTAGTGAGAAAACTCCAGGCTTTGTCTTCCTACTGGCCTTCCTCCATCCCTAATGTTTGTCTATAGGCACACAGAGATTTTTGTACCCTTCCCAGCTACTTTGGGTTTCTCTTCTAGCACTTCAGTTGTCCCTGCCCTCTCCCATCTTGTCTGTATGGCCTTGTTCTTGTATGTGTTCATATACAAATGACAGGAAGATGTCCACTTGCAGGAGAGTTGTGGTAATAGTTCCACTTAGGGACAGCTAAGTTGGGCTGCCATTAGCATTGTGTTTTTTCTAACTGGCTACCATTAAATTTGAACATTTTACTCTAAAAAAAAATCTTCATGAACATTTCGATTTTATGCTTATACTGTTTATAGGTATGGATGCAAAGTTATTATGATGAATGACAATTAATGACACTAAATTCAGAGGAATGATTTATCATTTTGAACTTCTATCCTGGCAGTCTGGACTCTTGGGCACCCCGTGGTTGCATCGTGACCTTAGACAAGGACACGCCTTTGGTGTGCCTGTTCCTCCTCTTGGGAGACAGAATTCCTTAGCCCACCTCAACAGTGGAGTGATAGTTAGAGCAGCTGTTCCTTTGACATGAATGTCACACACTTTAAAATAACCTAAAAATCAAAATGCTGAATCCTTAAAATCAGACAAAGGCTTATTTGCTGTATTACTTCAGGGTTTCTATAAATACTGAGCCCCCATAGAGTTTGAATATAATTCTCTTTATACAATTTTGCTTATAATTTTAAAGGCATTGAGCTTTCTCTAACTATACAACTATAAATCAAAATGCATCTGAAGCTAAATCATAGCTTTTGATATAGTTGCTGCTAACATCACTTTGTAACTGCTGTATAAAAGTTCAGCCTCAGGGATAATAATCACTACTCTATAAATATTTCTCTTTGACTAATATTTTGAACTTTTTGTTATTATCATAAGCATCTTTTAACTTCTCAGAAAGACTTCAGTTCTCAGACTCGAAGTACAGGTTCATTCTCATTGATGATGTGCTGTTTCAGGATACTTACCGCAGAAGGCAGATGCAGCGGACAATCACTCGACAGATGTCCTTTGATCTCACAAAACTGCTGGTTACCGAGGACTGGTTCAGTGACATCAGTCCTCAGACCATGAGAAGATTACTTAATATTGTTTCTGTGACAGGTGACTTTTGTTTCTTATTGCCTATGGTGGATAATAAGCTTTAACTGTAACAAAGCAATTTAATTTCAAAGACAAAGGGATCTATTGTGGTTATATGTTTACATCGCTGAATACCAGCCTTATTTGTATTAAGTGAACCTAATGAAGTCAGTATTGATTTTAATAATGAATCTAGTGCCTGATGATCTGAGCTAGAGCTGAGGCAGTGATGCTAGTTCTGGGGAGTGAAATACAGATTATCATTAGCAGAAAGGTTTGACTGCACAATAAATGTAATGCATTTAATCATCCTCAAACCATCCCCCACCACTGGTCTATGGAAAAATTGTTTTCCATGAAACCCGTCCCTGGTGCCAAAAAGGTTGGGGACTGCAGCTGTAAAGTACAGTCTGCTAAGAACCTATCAGTGGACCTTAAACCAGTGGCACCTTTTTGGCACTAGGGACCGGTTTTATGGAAGACAATTTTTCCACAGACTAAAGTGTGGGGTGGGAGGTTGGGGAGAGAGGGAGGGAGGGAGGTGGAGCTCAGGCAGCAAAGCTTCCCTCACCCCAGTCTGCCACTTACCTCTCACTGTGCTCCCCAACCTCCCTTCTTAAGTTTCAAGGAAGATAATTTTTCCATGAAAAGGGCGGGAGAGTACAGGGCAACAGGGGGTGCAACAAAACTCTGCAGCCTGGAGGTTGGGGACTGCAGCTTTAGAGGATCAGGGCCCATCATGGGTGAATTGATGTTCTACTGTGGGATTGTGGGTGGCGGCCAGATTATATGCCTGCCTCCATGTGGCCAAAGAAGTGTATCTCACCAATGGCAAATCAAATTTAAAAATTTACTTTAGAATTAAATAGAATTGTTTTTAAGCTCTAAAAGGCCTTACTGTATAGTTCTTTGTATTCTAGAAGCCATACAAATACTAGATTGAATTTGTAGTATAAATTAAATGGCAAATTAAAACATTTTCAAGTTAAAGTATTTGTGAACATACTAAATGTTTTGCTTAACCTAATATTACACATCTTGTAATTTTAAGATGTTTTTGTATTCCTTAAAAGGGCGGTTACTGAGAGCCAATCAGATTAGTTTCAACTGGGATAGGCTTGCTAGCTGGATCAACCTTACCGAGCAGTGGCCATATCGGACTTCATGGCTCATATTATATTTGGAAGAGACCGAAGGTATTCCAGATCTAATGACATTAAAAACCATCTATGAAAGGTACTTTGTTTGACCTCTTTGTATTTAACTTGATCTTATGTTGAGTTAAAAATAAAAGTTAATGCATATCAAGCAAACTAAATATAAAATGTGCACTTCTGGATTTAACTGATCATTCTTATTATTTCCATTATAATATTGGAGTTGTATTAGCACAGGTATATATCCCATCATGTAAAATTCACAACTTTATTTGGACATATTCTTTGTTTTTCAGGTATATAAAGTTTTATAAGTTACCAGTTTCTTGTCAGATTCACAAAAGTTATAATTTGTTTTGTTTTACATAACACATCAATTGTTTTGTAACACTTCAAAGATTTCAATTGTTATTCTAAATAAACTGTCTCTTAGAAAAAAGATAATACAAAGGAACTATACAAATAATTTTACAAAATGGGGCATAATTGAAACTACTGTTTTAAAAATGTCAATGAAATATTAAATCTAACAAAGGATTTAGTGTGTCAATTATATATTAAAACTTTTAAGATTTAAAATAATTTTTCTTCTCTCAGGGTATTGTCAGCATATAGTTTTCATAATTTTCTAATCCCTGTTTTTTATATGCATATTTTACTTAATGTTGTCTAAGTAATAGCTGGTTTTAGAACTGTAGAGGGTTGTTATAGTATTAGTTTTTAGATTTGAGCTCCTCTAGGTTTTGCTGTTTGTGCTAAATTAGTCATTTAAACCCTGTGTGCTATATCAAGTTGGTATTCTGGTAGATGCGGTGATACATAAGTACCATAGGCCTGTGGAGAAGTGGTGTTGAATTGCATCTGGTCTTCGATGTTTTAGAAATCATCTTATTGTGAGATACATAATTGGTTTTTCTCTTGGTTGTGTAGTAAAATATTAAGTTTTGTTTTCTGAATAAACATCTGCATCTGTTATAACAGAGGTGCTGGATAATTATGAGTGCTTGCTAGATGAGCACAGTAATAATTAAACAGTTAAAACTTAACTTTTAAAAAGTTTTAACTGCTTAGTAATAATTCATGCCAAAATAATTTTTTACATGGTATATTTGTACATAAAGCCCTGTTTAACATAAACATAGTCCTTTGACACTCTCATTTATCCTTGAGATTGTTGTTGTTATTATTTGTGTATAAATAAAAATATGCCAAAAAAGGGATAAGCTTTCATTTAGGAACAATGAACTGGATTTGAGTTTAGAAAAAATTTCTGATAAAATAGAGGGATGGCTTAAGAAATAGTGGAAGTCATTTGAGACTGCTTTATACTCTTAGACTCTCTCTGAATTGGTATTACTGTTCCAACAGTAATATATTGCTCTAGGAATATATTTCTAGGTTTCAAGAAATATGAATAATTGGGAACAGAACTATTTGTCTCACAAGGATCCCCATTTAAGGAGGACAGGTTGCTTAGCATTCCTAACCTCTCTTCCTTAACACCAGGTACTCTGCTAGGTACCTTATGTATTCTTGAATCTTTATAAAGTTCAGAGAGGTAGTTAGAATGGTTCCATACCATTTAGAAGGAACACTGAAGCTCAGAAAATTTAAGTAACTTGCCAAAGTAATAGCTCTTAAGTAACAGAGCTGATATTTCAATCCAGGTATCTCAGACTCCATATACTGCTTATGAAGCTGTCACTGTTCTGAGCGCTTTACATTTTAACTTCATTTAGTCTTAAAATTCTGAGGTAGGCTCTGTTATTATTCTCATTTTGCACATGAGAAAACGGAAGCCCAGAGAAGGTAAGTCTTGCTGAAAGTCTCACAGCCAGTAAGTGGTAGAGTTGGCATGAAACAAGGCACTGTGGCTCCAGAGTCTATGCTCTGAGTGTGCTCAGTTGTCTCTCAGGACATGTTGCAGGAGTGAAACTTCTTTAAGCTATAACCCTGCCAGACACACTTAAGAAACTGAAATTTTATCATGAAATTAAGGGTCTGAAGTTTTAACATTTTTGTGTTCTCCATTTCTCTTTAGAATATTACAAGTTACAATCGCATATTTAACATTTAGGAGATTTAATACAAATTATTTCTTATTAACTCTAATAACCAATCTGTGTAGCAGACATTGCTATATTTGTTTTCTGCAACTTTTCTTTGCCTTCATAAAAACATCAGTTTTCCTTATTTAAAATAGACTATTATCACCTTTTCCAGTTTTCCTTCTTTTTCTTTCATTTTTTTTAAACATGGTGACTAGTTCATGTAAGTCTTTGGTTTTGGTACAGAACAGAACTCAGGAAAGCCTCCATACCTTCCTTTAGTTGAATGTAGCATGCAGAAATATCCTGGCTCTCAGGGTCATAGGAAGGAACATTGACTGGTATCTCCCACTCTAAGGACTGAGTGGCTTTACATGTCTTGTGAAGGGGATAGGAAGAGTGAAAGAGAGTCTGTGTCCTGAGACACAGGAGAGGGAGGCAGGAGAGACGTGGAAATAAACAAAAAAAGTTTGAAAGACCCTCCAAAAATATCTGTATTTCATTTCCTTCCAACAAAAATGTATTAAGCATCTACTATTTGCAGCCCCTGCTGCTAGATGCTGGGGATGTCCTTATTTGGATAGAACATATCTTCCTGAAATCTTGGCTCTTCTTTTCTTAAGGAAACCAAGATGAGTAGGTGTTAGAAGTCTAATTGCTTCCCTTGGTTTTTGTTTGGCTACACTAGTTCATTTTCTTAATTAACATATATTTAGTGTGAGTTTTTATTAGGAGCCGAAGCTTACATAGTTGTTCTTTATGCTTTCGTGTGTTGTAGGGGCTGTCTAGGGAGGTGGGATGAATGAAGGGACTAGTACACAAGCATCTTATGGGCTTGAGGAGCTTTTATTTAAACAATTGTTTTCTATTTGAAAATATTTTCAAACTTATAAAATGGTACAGGAGTAAGAATAGTTTGAAGAACACCCATATACGCTGTATCCAGATTTACCTGTCGTTAACATTTTAATCTTTGTTTGCTTTGTCATTTGCACTCACATTGCCTCCTGTGTGCTAATTCTCTCTCAGATATTTTATACACCTGTCTCCATCTACCCCCCCCACACACACACACAAATGCTCACGTGTTTTTCTACACCATATGAGAGTAAATTACATATGGCATATCATTTGCCACTAAATGCTTGAGTGTTGTGGAATTGATGTTCTGATTGAAGGTAAAATATAAACATATTTGAAGCAATTAGAGGAAAACAAAAATATGGTGGCTTCAACAATGAGCCAGTTAAGTTTTATCAGTATCAGGCTAAATCATTATTTTCTAGATGGTAGAAAACTTCTTAGTTTAAAACTACTATTGCTGATAGAAAATTGCTTAACTTTGTAAAACTTTCATTCTGATTTTCAGCATTTTGAATCTCATAGGAAATTTTCAAAAATTTACATTTTTGATTTAATTAAAACATATCCTATAAACAAAAAAGAATATGTAACAGTTTAAAGATAATAGTAATTATGACACACTGCTTATGAAATAGAGCATTTATGAAAGAAATATTTGGGGGAGTATCTTTCATCATGTAATAAAAATAACTTGGAGTGAATTTTTATAGGGGGATATTTTATTTTGTTTAAGTAAATATACAGTGTTATATACTAGAGGTATAAAGAGGTGATGTGAACTTCGTTTACCATTAAAGCAAGCTATTAATTTAGGCTTCAGCCCTTGCTGTTCATGAGTGGGTGGGACTCAGGGTATGTCTGAGATGCTTTTTTTTCCTTTTTCTTTTCTTGATGAAATAAGCATGTATGTCTTATATGCCTACAATTACAAAAAATATTTTGTAGCTAGTCTAAGGAGGAGAAAAAGATAGTATACTATAAGTAGTCTTTGAGAATTCATAAGGAATTGACTTAAAATAATTAAATATAATCAGATGATTTGGAATGAAAAACTATAGCAAGATAATTTGATCAACATATTGAAAAACCAGATATTGGCATATGTGAGAATAATTTAGATGACTCTGTTTCTAGTTAACCATGGTTGAGTTCTTTGATGCTATTGCTTGTCATTTGAATAATAAAAAGTTTTATTTACAGCTGACAAAAAACAGCAGTATATAATTGATATTCATTTATTTTATTAAGAAATCTGGTTTGGTAAAAACAATCAGAAAATAGTATTTTTAACGCTAGTAGTAAAATTTATTTTTTTAATCCATAAAAAGCCTCGTTTATTTTTATAGCAATTTGATGACACATCTGCTTGCTTTATTCAGTTGAAAAAGAAAATGTTGGTTCTTGGTGTTTGGTAAAATTGCTTTGTTAAATTATTTTCTAAATTGTTCAACTTTTAACAAATGACATTTGATACTAACACTGGAAAGCAATTTCAGCTAATTAAGTAGATCCCTCTATAAACCATTGGAACATTAAGATGACATACTGTTCATTCAAGATTATTTTAATTGGTACAATTATTGTAATTTTCTTGCAATTATGTGTTGAGCTAAAAGCTTTTGTCTAGATCATTTGAGGGTTTTTTTTGGTTAACATACATTTAGTAAGAAGAAAGGGAATAAAATAAAAACTGTAGGGAAAGATTTTTCTGTCTACTTTTTATTACAGATTTTTAGGCAACCATTGAAATACAGTATTTTAGTATAAAACTTTATTTCTGGTATTTTAAGCATTTTAAGCAATGATAGAGATTTTTAAAAGATCAACTTAAGTAGTTTTCATGAAGATAACGTTTTAAATTTCTGTTTTGATCCTGCTCAAGCAATCTTTAGATGATATGGTCAGAATAATTTTGTTATAAGGATAGCGACATAATTTATTTCGGTATGCTATTTTGATATTTTAAAAAACAATTGAATAGATTCTGAGGGAGTGTCAGAATGGTAGCCTTTTTCCATTTCATTGAAATAGCTATTTGCTGAACAGACACTATGGCCATCTAATTTATGGCCTTTATAGACCTACCTGAGATCTTTAAATTATTGAAGTAATGGTATTTTTATACATTACCTAAGACATTTTTCATGATAAAACAAATCTTATGATA